CTGTTTCAAAGAAAGAAATTTGAGGACAAGATAAAGAAATAAAGGCATTAACAAGAAAAATATCTATAAAGAGATTTTATTAGAGAATTAAATTGAATAAAATATAAAATTAAGATAATAAATTTAAAAAAAGAAAAAAAAATTATTGTCAAAAGAAAATATTTTTTGTACGATGATATTAAAAACTTAAATTAAGTAATATAAAAACATTTTTCAAATACAATTTTTAAAAATAACATTACGCTGCTTTTTATAATATTTTCGCCGGTCATAATTTTTTTTCTTCTAAATACGTAATTTTTCTCCTCATATTTTTAAACAATTTTTTATTTTATTAATTGTTTATTATAATTCATAATAAAAACAATGATACACTATAAACCATCGGTATTGATTTATTTTAATATCTAAACTTTTAATTTTTTAAAAATCATACCTAACATTTAGTTTTTATTTTATTTTAGTACTCCACCGTTAAAAACTTAATGGATGAGCCGACGAGACATAGTTCTGGTGGATCACAAGAGAATAACGAATCGACCGACATAGTCTAGTTTCAAGCCCATCAGACGGTTGACGACGAAGATCAAAGGATGATGAAGCCAGAATCATCATTGTTTTTGGGAGATTAAGGTATTTTTCAGTGAAACAGATGTCGAAATCACATTCAGAGGTCGAAAAGGTGTGGGTTGAAAAGTTTGTACTTCAACGGTCGATAGATGCAACAACCGAAAACTATAGATGCGCCCGTTCGTTAAATTTTTAATGACGGAGTACTAAAATAAATCAAAACTGATAATTTAGATATTAAACCATAATTTATCCTAAAAACAATCTGTCGAACCTTAGACTAGGCTTATCCAAAAGTAGCAAAGACTAAGATTAAATATATATTCCATATTAAGACAGATGTAAAGCGGAGATGATCACTTATAAAGGAATCTAAATAAATAAAGGTTTATATATATATATCAAACCTTTCATTTTTATCATTGATTCTCTTGGAATTTTGCTGCCAAAACTGATTACCAGCTACCGTGTCAACCGTCCGATATAAGAACAGGGGGTTACAAAGTGGAGCCCTTGATTGAAATTCCAAAGATGAAATAAGAAGGAGAAGCAACTCTCCTCCCTTCTACAACTCATCCCCTCAATCTCTTTGAGTCCACCCAAATCCCTATAATTTCCCTGTGGCAGGTTTGTTTTGTGCTTGGAAACTGATCATTTTCCCCTCTGTTTTGCCTCCCAACATGCCTTTTCCATTAAAATCCTCATCTGGGTCTTTGTTAATTCCTCTGCTTAGGTCTTTGTTGTTATAGGAATCCGAGGGTGTTCCCTTTGTTTTTCACATCTTGCTTTGGTTATTTCTGTAGCTGATCCAAGAAACAGGGCTGGTAAAAAGGAGATGGGTCCAGGCATAAACTTGATCTCAACTGTCATTGCTTTTGGAATGAGTGCCACTTTTATTGTGTTCGTTTGTACAAGAATCATCTGTGGGAGGATCCCAAGGTCAAGGCTTCAGACCCAGTCCGGGATTGATCTTGAACAGGTACATTTCATTCTCAAAAATCTGCAAATTATCAGATCAGATGTTTGATTTGAACTTTGGGTTTTTAACCTTTCCAAAATTTGTTGGCAGCCAGGAGAGCAGATTCCAGGGCTTGAACCAGTTTTAGTTGATGCAATTCCCACATTGAAGTTCAACAGTGAAGAGTTCAATTCTATTGAATACACACAGTAAGTTTAGAGTCCTTATAAGCAATCACCTTTTTTTGACAATAAGGTATATACCACATTTGGTTTGCATGCAGATGCTCCATATGCTTGGGTGAGTACCAAGAGAAAGAAGTGTTGGGAATCATGCCCAAATGCGACCACAATTTTCACCTTTCTTGCATCGACTTATGGCTAAGGAAACAATCGACATGTCCGGTCTGCCGTTTACCATTGTTGGACATTTCTGAAGCAAAACGAATGAGAGCAGCAACATTTAGGATGAACAGCCATGAGACCTCCCTCCCCTGATCATACTCGGCAGTGGCTTCTACCATTTCCAGGCCCTCAAAGTTCCATGCTGAACCCCACCGACAACCGAGACCATCCTGATTCGTCTTATACGAATTCGGAAATGAATACGTGATAGTTTATTAGGGGCAAAGGAAGCAACAAAGGTGGCTGCTGGGATTCATCTGTAAACTTTGTTTGTACATAAATTTTAAATGGATCTTTTTGAATTATTCAAATTTTCGAATCAAATCATCTATTCATATGATTTTGAATTACATTTTCATATTAGAATTATGTTGGAATTAAAGTTGATGAGATTTTGTTAAATATGTGCTGGGCAGATGGTTTTGACTAGACTTCTATAAACCTGCCATTACCAGGCCCAAGTGGGTGTTATGGTTGAGCTCTTCCTTTAATTATTGCATTAGCTTGTACTTCATTAAGAAATATAATAATTAAAGAGTTTAGCAAGATTTTGAAGCGGCCAGTCTTGTATTTGCAAGCAATGATAAAGAAATAAATTTGTGGGTTGACTTAGATTTTAGGATAAAGTTTATAAATGGTCACTAAACTTTTAAGATAATTTTAATTTGATCAGTGAACTTTTAAAACTAGCATTAAATTTTTAATTTGTTTTCGTTACGACCAATTATCGTTAGTTTTTGTTAAGACACATTAAAATCTTCTTCCACAAAACGCCCTAAGGTCCCAAATTCTCAGTCGTGTAAAGGCTAAATTTTGGATGAACAAAACGATTGTCGTTCAATCCCAACGATGATTTTTTTTTGTTTAGCCAGAAAATTAACATAATTTAATTTTAAGCTGATTTAATCATTTCTAGTGACATATTAGAAAGTTTTACCTTTTAGTTTTGATTATGAATTGAAAAAATTTAAAAGTTTTCCGATGAATTTGAATCGAGTGAAAGAAAAAGAAGAATATTAAGAGTGTAGTGATCTTTTTTGATTAGACATGGCACGAAAACAACGATGAGGAGCTACAATTATTAATTTTCTTATAGAGTTTTTTAACATACAACATCAAGTATCATTAATGGTTTAATAGTCTAACTGGAATAGAAGTTTTTCTTTAACTCCTATGGATTTTTTATTTTATTTTGTAACAAATGTGAAAGTTTCTTAAAAGTTTAATGATATTATTAATATTATTATTATTTATCCTAAATTTTAATGACTTTAAAAATATACTAAATATAAAAGATATTTTTATAATAATATTATTTACTTCAAAATATGAAAGACATAAAGTTTTGAATAAATAATTTTAAATTAAGTTTGTATTAATTTAAATTAACTTTGTGTGGATTCAATCATTTTCCTATTGATTTGTTAAAATGTCAATTGAGAGTATATTATTTACAATAGTCGTTGTTACGACGGTAGGAGCCGCTGTCTTCAAAACTCATTAACCCTATGGAAAATTGATAATGTAAAACCATCTAACCGATTATGCGTTGCTTTCTACTTAACCCTATGAAAAAATTGATAACGCAAAACCATTTAAATATACACAGTAATTATTTAATCCAGTAGAATAAAGAAAATTAAAGATCTAAACTTTATACGGTGTATCTAATAACAAGTTTTCCTTAATTAGAAGAAGTTTGCGTTGATTTCATCGAGAGATATTCAATTCAAAGTTCTAATTACGCTAACCAACGGTGGAAAACAGACAAAAATACATTTTCTAATGTAGTTTAAGGTTAACCGTGCATTAACAAAAACTTTGGATTCCATGGATTATAACCTAAAATAATTACGGTAATTAAAAACATTTAGATTTGAAACTGTAATAATTGTCAACTATCTCTTGTCTGAAGAAAGGCAAAACCCAATGGCCGAAAGTGGAGGGAAGCACACGCGGGAAACGCCACGTTTCATTCCACATGTGTCGTGATGTGCAAGAATCCACGTGCTAAGAGACAAATCTCGCTACCTCCTTCCTCTGAGGAATGAAGTTTAAAGGACTCTAAGGCCGCGTTTGGATGACTATAGTCTTAATCCAAGTTGCGAGATTAAGACGGAAGGTTATTGAGATTAATTAATGTTTTAAGCACGTAATCGGAAAGCAAATTCTGGTGACCCAAAATACAACCAACACAAAGGACACGGTACGTTGCTATGGCCTGGAAGGGTCAGGCCCCACTAATCATTCTATTACCAAGTGCTAAATGCCATCGGTTAGCCTCCACGTCACTATTAATTAAGCTCAACTTTCCCCACGATTTTTTTTAATATAGGACCGCCCTCTGTTTCTTGTCACTTTTCTTATGTAATTTCCTATCTTTAATCTGTTTTACTTTCAGTTCATTCACGGCTTATATTAATTTTTTTTAATTATAAAAACGTCAAAACATGGAATTTGTTTATGCTAATCAATACTTTGAGGCAATGGAAAATAAATATATATTACGGTATTAGTCCTTCTACTATGTCAAATTGAATATTTAAAGGTGATAATAATAAGAGTTTTATAAATTAGATGATATTTGTTTGACTAAAGATCGACGATATAACTCTCTTAATAAGGAATTTTAGAAAAATAATTTAAAAGACGCTTTTAAAAAGATCACACAACTTTGACAAGAATAATTATCGCCACTTAAAAATAATTTAGAGCTAACTAATTGAATAATAAAAGTAGGAGTACTGAATGATGTAAACTTAAATTAGAGGGACAAAATCCCAAATTTTAGTATATCAAAATTATAATTCCACCTTTTGTAATATGATGTAAACGGAATTGCCAGCAAGTTGAACTTAGGGCATCTTTATGCGAAGCCGAAAGCAATTGGCAAGCACATATGGCAAGCATTTGGATTTTTAAAAAAAAATAAACAAGGAAGAAAACTAATAATGGGGGTATATACTTTACGATGACATCACTATTTTTGAGCCACCTTATTATATATATGTACATATAGTGGCGGATTTAACCAGCCTCTCGTTGAGGACTAACAATTGAAACTTGTTCAAGTTTTAGTGTTAATGGCAGGATCTGATGAGACCGCCAAGACAACCACTGTCATCACCAACACAGACAACACCATGCCTCAACCAACCAAATCAATGGCTCGAAGGTTTGTTGGTGTCAGGCAAAGACCGTCGGGACGATGGGTGGCGGAGATCAAGGATTCGTCACAGCGTGTGAGACTCTGGCTAGGGACTTACGATACTCCTGAAGAAGCTGCCCGTGCTTACGATGAAGCGGCTCGTGCTCTCCGTGGGGAAAATGCTCGAACCAATTTCGCATCGGTTAACCACGGTTTGAAACAGCCGGTTTCCGGCTCCTCTCCTTGTAATAATGTCCAGCAGCATGGGCTTAGCTTCTCTTCCTTGAAGGCTAAACTGAGCAAAAACCTACAGAGTATCATGGCTAGGAACAGGGAGAACAAGTCGACGAAAAGTAGAGTGAGTGACCACTTCACTTTCGCTAGCATATTCAACTTCAGAAACTATCATTACCAGAACACGGGTGTTGATATGAAGAATATTCAAAAAGTGGTGCAACCGAGCATCATTGTGCCACACGTGGGTGATGCGCCGCCACAACCGCCGCCACCCTTGTCCTGGGACAGCTCTAGCGTTTCGGATTGTAGCAACGAATGGATCGGATTCCGGCAACATGGGTTTGATTCGGACGGGTCGGATATCGGTGAAGTGAGCTTCGGTCGTGATCACCATGGATTTGCAGATGAAATGATGGGGTGGGTCGATAGCCCCGACATTAATAATATTGGTCCGAGATTGATCGATGAGGATGGTCATGGTTCGAGGAGTAAGAGGTTCAAGGTCTCTTCTTCTGTTGTGGTTCCTCCAACTTTTAGTGGGTCAAACCATAACTAAAAGCTTAATTACTTGTCGTCGTTGTTGTTTTCAGTGATATAGAACATGTATGTATAGTTCCAAAAAGAAAGAAAGAAAGAAAGAAACGACATGGATCATGCAAAAGAAGCAAATACATTATACCAGAAAGGAGCTGATAGGGCCTAAGGCAGTAAGGCCAGCCGAACCCTGTTGTTAAATGGCACTGTACCAGAACAATCATAACATCTCTTGTAATAAATCCAGTTTGCAATGAAAGTTTTTCCTCATGTTTTTACACAGTGAACACTTTTGGTTAATATTATTAACTAAATATATTGATGTGTAATTATATTCAAAATTGATAAGATAAAGAACACATGTTGAACTTGGGTCTCTTTGTAAAAACAAACAAAAAGTAAATGCTTCGCTGGATATATATATATATATATATATATGTGAAGTGCACAATGCTTTTGGGATTTGAAACTATACCCGCATGCTTTTAATTTCTCTCTCTCTATTTTATAGCTTTATCAAGTGAATTGAATCAGAATTTGTAGAATTAAATCAAATGATTTTTGAATCTAAAAAATTATAATATATTTATATAAAATTTGATATTATTGTGTGAAACACCACAAACATTTTATCCCTCGACATTAAGGGACGTTTGATTCACGGAATATAAGATTATTTTTAGAAATAACATTACTGAAATGTAACATTACTATGAGAATGTTGTATTGCATCGTTTGGTTTGTTTAGGAGGAATGTAATATTACAGTGTTTGGTTGGAGGAATATAAGATTAGTTGGATGCATATTTTACAAATTATCCTTGTCATATAAGTTTTTTTAAAAGTTAAATTTTAATATTAAATTATAAATATTTGAAATAAAATTTATAAAAATATTTTAATCGTTATACTATATGACTTTTTAGAAAAAAAAAATTAATATATAATTAATATATTAGTATATTAAATTTATATTTTTAAATAATATTTGTAAGTATCATACTTATTTATATAAAATATAATATAATAAAAAAATATTATGATATTGAGTGGACAAAGATATTATTTTTCAATATACAAGATCCATTTTTAATAACTAAAAGTTAAATATTATTTTAAATAATCAAATTTTTACAATAATATTATAATTTTTTCATCCCATATAATTATAAATATTTAATATATTAAATATTACAAATATAAAATATTTTTAAATTCTCTCTAAAAATATAAAATATTTTTAAATTCTCAAATTTATTAATATTGGTAAATCAAACTATTTATATATTATTATTATGTTTATAATTTTAAGTGAAACAAATATTATATTCTTGTCCAAAGTGATCGGAATTATATAATACATAAGAATTTGGAGATAATGACATTCTTACCATTTTAACCAAAACATGTTACTATTGAGAAACGAGTATTCCTAGTACAATTTTTTATGTGAACTAAACATGAGAATGAAATTCTAAGAAAAAACTATTTCTCTTTATAATAATCTTTTTCGCGAACCTCTTAAAGAGAAGCCAAAGACACCTCTAAAGATTTTTACATTATTTTTGCAGGGGGAAATGAAATAGAGAATGAACATGGAACAAACAACATAAAGGACAAATTAACAGCATGTTGTGTTGTTTCTGTCGGGATTTTTTCACAAAAATATACTGGGATGGCTTTGTCAATCATAATCAAGGTTAATCCCTAATTAAAACAATGACTTAATTGCTACCTTGAGAAAACATATATGAGGAAAGTTGTGTTGTTTCTATAATGCATTGAAGAAGCTGATGAAGAAAGTGCAATAATTTATCATTAGTATTTTACGTACAATCCACAGAACCTTACATCTCTTTCTGATAAAAAGGCTGTCTTGGTGGATTTGTGGAGCACATTCATCTTTTGAAATTTCCAACACAGTTGATTGGGTTTTACTCAACATCTTTTGTTATGCCGATGTCATATTGCGAACCGAATTTGAAATAAATTTTTAAAACGCATGTCCCTTGGGTGTTCCTTTACTGCTACATAATATTTGGTCGGTCCATGATATATTCGTATGCCTTCAATTTTAAGCACCCTATTCCTAGGTAAGTTGTATAGCCAAATTTTACCTTCAAACTAATATCTTCTTTCTTCTTCTTTTAATACTATAAATTCAAAATTTCACATAATCACAACGGTCGAATCCTCTGTCGCAAGCAATAATCAGAACCGTACAATTTCCCAGAAGTTGCTCGACATTTAAACACTCATATCTGAACACTGAATAAACGAACACCAATCTCTTTCTTTAGAAACCCCACCAGCAACTTGAAAGAGTTAAACAAATACTCGCATGTTATTTACTTATTCTCTAACGGAGAAAAAAGTCAGAATCTGAAAAACCTACATACCTACAAGAAGTAAAAAGAAAAGGGCTTTCTTTCTTTTAGTTAAAAAAATTGGTCTGCTGCTGATTCTTAGGTGCATTTTCTGGGAAAGGGAAGTTTGAGGATTAAGCTACTACACTCGCTTGCTTGCTAGAGAAAAAAGGAAAAATCTTGGAGCATCCGAGTTTTAAAAGTTTGGTCTCGATTGCTATGAATTTTTGCTTAACCGTATCTCACTTGTGGGATTGCTCCAAATACACAGCTTTGGATAGGGTCTCTTCCAAGGGAAGTCTCTTCTATGGCTCAAAAGTTTTGGGGTTAAAGGGGAATGCAGCTAAGAATCTGGCTTTTGCTTTCATTGCTATGAAAATTCTTGACCTTTGGGTTTAGATTAAGTCAATATATATCAAAGATCTCAACCCAAATCTGATGCCATGCTTTTCATTGTTAAAAAAATATCAAACTGGATTTTGATCTTTTTTTGCATTCTCCCAGTTACTTTCCAATATACCCCTTGAATAACATCCACGAAGGTTGCTATTTAACTTGGTTTTCAAAAGGGTATTGTGGTACTTTGATAAAATATTCATGGACGGCTGCTTGATTAAGCTGCAATCTTTTTTTAGTAGTTAAAAAGTAACTTCTTTCATTTTCATAAACTATAATTAATGACTTATAGGTTTTTAATGTGTGTGGATGATTACATGGTTTCTTGAGATCATTAATTTTTACTTTTTAGTTGGCATTTAATGATCACTTGATAAAGGGAAATAACTCTTGTGAGCAATCTTTTTGGATGGGTCTTGTTTTGCAATAACAAGCTTTGCGTGATAAAAAATATCACTTGATGCAGCTCTAGTAATATCTAAATTCATATCTGAATCATGAGAGAAGATACTGGAAATGGGATTTCGGATGATACTCGATCGGCTGAGGAATTGCTATCCTATGCTAAAGAGCTTGTTGCCATGGCACTTGTTATGGCAAGGGAGGTGAAGGGGTTCCCGGTTAGGTGGAAGATGATAATTTCCAAATTGGAGCAGATCCCAACGCTCTTATTGGATTTGTCGAGCCATCCTTTCTTTTCGAAGAATGCTCTTTGTGAGGAGCAATTGCAGGCTGTATCAAAAACATTGAAGGGAGCAATTGAATTGGGAGATTTATGTCTAAAGGAGAAGTTTGAGGGAAAACTTAAGATGCAGAGTGATCTTGATGCGTTGTCGGGGAATTTGGATCTGAATTTACGTGATATTGGACTTCTTATCAAGACTGGTGTACTTGGCGAAGCTACTTTTCCTTTATCTTCTGTCGGTTCGTCGTCAGAATCCGGGACTGCAGCACGTTGCCATCTAAAGGAATTGCTTGCACAGCTTCAGATCGGTCACTTGGAATCAAAGCACAAAGCTGTTGTCAGCCTTGTTGAGGTCATGAAGGGAGATGAAAAGAGTGTATTGTCGGCTATGGGACGGAGTAACATCGCTGCTCTTGTTCAGCTGTTAACAGCGACTTCACATCGTATCCGGGAAAAGGCGGTGACTGTAATCTGCTCGCTCGCGGAATCTGGGAGTTGTGAGAGCTGGCTTGTTTCAGAAGGTGTTTTGCCACCTCTCATTAGGCTCATTAAATCTGGCAGCACGGTCGGTAAAGAGAAGGCAACGATTTCACTTCAGAGATTATCGATGACTGAAGAAACAGCCCGAGCAATTGTCAGACATGGTGGGATTTGGTCGCTAATCGAAATATGCTATATTGGAGACTCCGTTTCACAGGCCGCAGCTGCTTGTACGTTGAAGAACATATCAGCTGTTCCCGAGGTTCAACAAATACTAGCCGAGGAAGGAATAATAAAGGTCATGATCAATCTCCTCGATTGTGAAATTTTGTTGGGTTCCAAAGAATACGCTGCAGAGTGCTTGCAGAATCTAACAGCCAGCAATGAGAATCTGAGAAGGTTTGTCATCTCCGAAGGTGGAATTCGAAGTCTATTGGTATATCTCGACGGTCCTTTGCCCCAAGAATCTCCGGTTGCAGCCTTGAGGAATTTGGTTGGCTCGGTTCAACAGAAGTCCTGATGTCACTCGATTAGTTCATGTGCTTAAATCTGGATCATTAGGTGCACAACAAGCCGCTGCATCGGCCATCAGTATGCCGAATCTGGTACAGTTGCTTGATCCAAGCCCCCAAAACACTGCAAAGAAGTACGCAGTTTCATGCCTATCATCTCTCTCATCCAGCAAGAAATGCAAAAAGCACAAGATATCATGTGGAGCAATCGGGTCTCTCAAGAAGCTTTCGGAGATGGAAATCACCGGTGCCAAGAAGCTACTGGAGAAGTTGGAAAGAGGAAATCTTCAAAGTTTGTTCACCCGAAAATAGACTAAAAAATGCTCACCTTTTGTACAATGAGATTTCCCCCCATTTTTTTTCTGGTCACCTTCTTTACTTGCATGTAATCCAATGTTTCATAGTCTGTATGAAACAAAGTAGTTCATAATGATATGAAAACCAAGGCAATGTTATAATATATATTATTCTAATTTTAAGATTCCCGTGTTTATGTTTCATCTTCGTCCATGTGTTTCAGATTCTGCAAGTGTTGCTTGTAACTCAAGGCAAACTTTTCTGGTGTTTACTGGAATTCTGGTTAGTAATGTCGACTGTGATATTCTTTCCCAGATGGAGTTAATATTAGACAAGGAAAAACGCACACATCCGGCTAAAACGTGCATATTTCCACGTGATGTTGAAGAGGCACTTGCTCCTCCTTGTGGTCGAAAAATGGATAGTCTAGAGGAAGCTCGTGGATGCCATCCGAAATATCCGTTGCCTTTAGGAGTGGACAAATTACCCATGGATGCCTGGGAGAATTGGAGCAAGGGAGGTGTGTTGTGGTTTGCATTAAGAACGGAACCTATGAAATGAGAAGATCTACTTTGTCGACCCAAGGAATATCTCCGTTCGATTGCATTCAAACAATCCGATTAGTTAATTCAAACACCACCAATCAACAACCTGGCTCAAGCACCTAGTGTGGCATTGCAAAACAAAGAAGCATTGCTGCAAATCTGTTATGATTTGAGGAAAAATGATAACCAGATGACAATTATAGACACTATTTCTCACGTAAACACAACCCTACGAGAGCTACCAAGAAAACAAGCGATTTTACAAGTGATCGGTATTTACACCTCTGGATTTTCTCACGACCATGATTTGACCTCTTTCCCTACGCTACTGGGGTATATTAACGCAGCATCCACACAAACGCCACCTTTGGTATGAGTGCAATCGATTTGAGTTGATGAAAATTTGATCTTTGTCAATGCATTAGAGTTCCCAACAACAAAATCCCCAACATGGTAAAGAACCCAGTTCCCTGGATTGTCTAAATGACATCGAGACACGGCATGCTGACCGTCCGAAATTGTTAAACGGAATTGGACCGGTTTTATGTCCCATCCATGGATGTGCTCGGAGTTGCAAACCCGACGACCGAGTCTCTTCAAGGATTTCCCGAGCTGGAGTCTAAAGAACAGGCTATATGTGCCTGCAGGGAATTGAAACTCCAGCTCTCCATCTACTTCAAACCACCATGTTTGTTGAAGGTATGCTACTGTAGGATATCTGCAGAAAAGATCAAATCAAAGGAAGAGCTTGAGCTAGAAACATGACAGATAAGAAAAGGTTAATTGCATCATAGTCCCCAAATTATGACATAAGTTCTAAATTAGTCCAATTTCAAATCGTTTTAATTTAATCTGTCAAGTATCAATATTATATCAATCATATCCTTCTTTTGACTTCATTAGCTCAGATCTAACCTAGAGCCATGCTTAAAACTTCATCAGATGCTTTAAAATGATATAAATCATGGTCAAACTTATATTAAACATCTAAATTGATCCCGGTGGAAATAAACGCACCTGGATTCTCACCTGGATTAATTTAGAATCTGGAAAAGATAAACACACCTGGATTCCTCGGTGGAGATATGACTCCAATATCTCCGATCATCGATCCCGGTGATTGTCAACGCCTTGGATGAAATCGATAAACAAACACCACCTGTGTTCTTATCTAACCGTATCACCTGCATATAGCCAAAAGGCAACATTGTTAGATCATTAACCTAAACCACTAAAAAAGAGAAAAACGGATACTATATAATGTTTAACCTTTGTGCCACCATCAAAGGGATTAGGCCTGCACAACCTGGCATAAAGTTCTTTCTTCTGCAGATTTATCAAACTTGTATCTGCTAGCAGTACTTTCTCCACAATGAACTTGTAACCGGAGGGTAATTTCGATTCCCATATGAAATCAGCTGATGAGGCACTGCAAAACGATCGATTCAATAGGGCCAATTTGCAAATCTCAGGTGGGTTTAACTGTGCTAAGATCAAGGCCACGCAGCTCTCCGGTATGTCACCGAGTCTTGGCCTCGATGGAGGACCGCCTCCATCCCTTTCAGCAGCAGCAGATAAGTTGGCACCCATCAAGTACCTTTTTTTAACCAGAAAGGTCAAAACCCTGAGTTGTTCTCGAATCACAGAGACTAAACTAAGAGAACCTGGAAAAGTAGAGACTAAACCCGGAGTTTGTCATATGAAATCCGAGGAAAAATTGTGTAAAACCTGTGTAAAATTGCTGTTTCAGGTGAGACTAAAGGATGTTTTTGACGGAGAGTGGATCAGTGGAGATCTTGTCCACTTTATCAACATTTAAAAGTGACCGTTGTTTAGCTTGGTTTGCTGAATCCCAGGTTAGGTACTTATACTGATGTCTGCTCCAAATACTTTCATTAACGGCAACTGGATTAGTAGACACGCGTATTTTTTTCGTTAAACTACATTAATAGACAGTGGACTTTTAAGATAATTTCACTTTGACAATTGAAAAACTTTCATTAGAATAACTGTAGTTATGACAAACATTCATTTAAATCATTAAACTGTTAAATCGATAATGAAAGTTAACGTGAGATATATGTTAAAAAAATTTAAAAATATAATAGTTTTAGCTTTTTTTTATCATTTTTATTATTGTTCGATTATTTTTTTCAATTTCAATTCTTTAGAAAAAAAATTAATCTCTTAAAGTTTCAATCAAAATTAAAAGTTAAAAGTTTAGTTTTCATTGTCAACTATTGGATTAGCTTGAAATCGAACAAACCTTCCAACAATTGTGATTGACCTACTATAGCTCCATTCATCGAAAATTTGACCATTATATCGCTTGTCAATTTGAAATCTTAGAACTTTTTTTAGAGAATAATACTTTAACATGTTATGTCAACTAACAACAATGATAATAATGAAAATAAATTTAAAAAAGTAATGATTATAATACAAGTTATAAAAGTTTGATAACTAAAGTGAAAACATCAAACACTTAATGACCCATTAGTATAACTACCCTTTTATTTTAAAAATTGATTAGTAATTAATGAACTCATCCCATTGGAGTTAACTACTAATCAATCATAATCCAGAACCAATAACATCGATGTGACATTTTAAGGCTAATTAATTTATTCTGTACCTTAACCTTATCCATTTGAACAGGTTCGGACCTTCCTTTTTTATTACACAATAAGGTAGAGTTTAGTTTCCTTTGTAGTTCGTGGGTGACGAGTGTTTTATCTTTTCCTACAGAGAAGCAAAAGCAACAGCTTGGTTTTAAATTGATTGGGATCAGTGACTTCTATTGATAGTTTATTATTTAATCCCCAAATTATTTTCCACTTTTGCTTTAACTTTAATAATTAGAGGCTTTAAATACTTTCATGTAGGGGTGTATTCGATTTGGTTCGGTTTGGTTTTTTACCAAAAACTGAACCGAACCAAAATAAATGATTTTTCAATATTTAAACCGAAACCGAATAGTTAAAAAATCGAAAAAAATCGAAACCGGTTTTTTTGGTTCGGTTCGGGTTTTTTAACGGTTCGGATTTTTCGGTTCGGTTCGGTTCGGTTTTTCAATGAAAAAATCACTTGAAACTATAATTTTTTTTTACAAAAATTACCTATTCGGTTCAATATGGAACAAATGAGTTCCATATGAAAAACTCGAACCGAACCGAATCAAAAAAATGAAGCCTTTAAACCGAACTGAAAACCGAATCATTTAAAGCCAAACCGAATCGAACCGAACCGTTTTACTCGATTCGTGTCGATTTTTCGATTTTCTCGATTTCGTTGCTCACCCCTACTTTCATTGACCCTCTCACACAACATGGTGGCAATTGGCACCCGGTGACAGGGCAGTTGTCATTGTTCAACCCCAACATACTCTCTTCTTATACTATTATAGAATCTATTGAGGGAGGATACTTCTTTGCAATATTTGTAGTTTTAATCGAAATGGTTAAAAAATTGATTTTTTAGGTTAGATAGATGTTAAAAAATTAATATTTTTAATTTTTAGTTTTAAATTAAGTTGTCGTTTCTTAGACATTATAATTCAGTAATAAAATAAAATATATTTTATAAATTTAAATTTGAGTAATTGTATTTATAAGATATATGTTCGTTATTAATAAATTAGAACCTTTTAAATAAATATTATCTTGTAATATTATAAATTATAACATTACAACAGGACATGAAGTCATGTTAATTCATTAAAGATTCAATGAAAGAATGTTTAGATGTTTGAAACTAATTTAGAATTTAAACCGTTGTACGAGGATATGTGATTCTATTATTCGGAACCCAAAACAGGATCTAAACACTAGAGTGAATGTAATTGGTTTTGATGGATAGTTTTGCTATGCAACAGTCTGATTTAAGGATATTTTAAAATAGTTTTTAATTTAAAATGTCATTTTATTCAACTTAAAGAAACATTTTTTTCATCATTTTTTAACCTAATATTAACAACTAACGAGTTATATTTTAGAATTTAAGGGTTTTGAAGAGCTGGATGATTATTTTAGTGTAAAAACATTGAAAAATGAAGCCCCCAAGGTTTGAGAGACGCATGGGATGCGCACTTCAATCAATCATCTTGGATTAATTCTTGTTTAACGAAATGATAACCCTTTCTTAATTACGAACATACGTATTTTATTAAAAGACATCCACGCCGATTTATCTTTACGATTTATTTTGAATAAGCTTTGCTTGTGTTTGACTAAGAATTAAGAAGGCTAAAACGAAAAGGAAAAAAAAAACAAGTCCCTCATCTAGTTAAACTTTTGAATCATAAATTGTAAATTTTATAATATTTTTAACGATCTGTTAAATAATTATGTGACAAATGACGGGAAAATAGCAATATCCAAGGAATTTAATTACATGTTATTTTCAATTAGAGATTGAGTTGATTTCTTTTATTATTCCATTAGGGGGGAAACTCAATTAATTACCTTTTAGAATTGAAACAATTTAATTTGACGGTACCTAATTCTGGTGACACCTAGGGATTAAAAAAATGAAAAGGCAACAAGCTAGATTTCGCTTTTTGATTTGTTTAAGCGGAAAAAATAAAGAAGCAAATAGTTGATTTGGCATGAAAATATTCTCCACTATCACTGCCTTGCCTTTGTTAATGCACCAACTTGAATGAATTTACAATTAGCCAGAGCTGCGTGGAACTGAGTCAGCACCGAGTTAATGGACCCAGAAATGGGGATTTCTGGATCAGCGACACGTTTCATCTGATGACATGTATACATTCAAGTCAAATGCTGAATTCATCATAAGGGTACTTTGTTACTTGCAATCCAAGTGACCATATTACCAACAAAACTTTACAATCATTACGTGACTGGTAACGAGAACAAATCACAGTGGAGGTTATAGCTCGAGATCATAATGGTCTTGTGGTCGCCTCACATGCCATTCCAATTCAAGTATCATCGAACACTCGTATAATGGAAGCTTCTGCATTATTGCATGGCGTTCGAATGGTTATAGACTTGGCTAGGTCCGTTATCCATATAGAGAGTGAGCCGAATTTGTGGTTCGCTAGTTGCTATCTCTGGTTGCCGGCTTATCTGTTCTTGGTTTCCACTTAGTCAAAGCACATTGTTTGCGTACTCTCCACAAATCAGTGCTCAACATATTCGACGTTCGGCCAATGTTGTTGCCCACGAACTTGTTTCTTATGCTTTATCTATTCCAGTCTTATTTATTATGTCTTCGACTCTCCTGCATGTATTTTCGATATACTTATTCCGGATGCTTTTAATGGTTAATATTATAACGATGTTTTTTATTAAAAAAAAAAGAGTAGTTGTAAAAATATATTTATATGTAATTCGGTATGTGAAATTATCTTCAAAGTTCAATTTGATATTTAAATTTGTCGGTCCAATAATACTATGAATTTAGATTCAAAGTTTAATTGAATATCTAATTTTTTTTCTTGTCCAATTAAACGTCTAATTAAAATTTATTTTTTGAAAAATAATACTTAAACGTAACTCTATAGTTCAAATAAGTCTTTTACTATAACTATCGTTCTGGATAAACGAGTTAAGCATATGTGCAAACTTGAACCAAGTAATTAAATTAGATACTTCGTTGAACCATAATTTTTTTAAGTATATATTAAATTCAACCTTAAAATAAATTCAAATACTTAAATATCAAAATAAACTTTAAAAAAAATTTAAATACCTAATTTATCAAAGAAACTTAAATATAAAATTAAACCTAAAATTAGATTTATGTATCAAAATATATATTGACCTTTAAAAAAACTTTTTTTAATAGAGATATTTAAGACAACATATTTGATATGTTAATATAAAAATTCTATAATTACACTAAAATTCTTTTTAAACGATCAAGATTATAAAATCAATAAACAGATCAACGTCCACAAAGGGACAATCCAAAGCTATGCACATAAGAATTAGGATTCGTATGATCGAGATTTTGATAGACTCACAATTTAAAAATTTTAATTTTTTATTTGATCTCACTTTTATATGATGTTTAATTGATTCAAACAGACAAATTTTAAGGTAATAATTTGTTATCAATCTGATTAAATATGAAACAAACAAAAAAAATCTAATTTTTATTAAAAAAATTAGAGATGAAGAAGGGAAATAATCTAAGGAGAGACATAGTTATTATCCCTGTTATTCTTCTATTTAATAAAAATTCAAAAATAATGTAAAAATATAATATTTTATCTTTAGTAAAAAAAAATTTTAAATTTTTTTAAAATATTATTTTAATTTAAATTATCATTCGATAAATAAAATATTTTATTTAAATTTAATGATAAAATAAACACAGGCAGTCGGCTTCGAACAAATATATACTTTTAATAATTTTCGTCCAGAATCCAGATTGTGAATAAGTCTATTAACCGTAAGCGGTTTAAACGGAGCTGTTACGTCGGCAAGCAAGCTCTTAAAGACGTCACGTGCCATCCAATCTCCTTCTCCTCCGTCACTGTTACTGTGAAAATCCAAAATAATTCCCAGAGAGACAATCCCCAATCCTAAAATATCTCTTAATCCCATCACCTTCAATTTTTAGTTCCTTGTTTTTCCTTCACAATGGATGGCGAGGAGGACACTTCAAATCCAATGATGGAGGCCAACGGAACCGGCGGCGTCGACGAAGCGCCGTTGTCTTCTACATCGACACGGAAGAACCGGCCAATTATAAGCGGCGAACCACTGGACATCGAGGCGTACGCTGGGCTTTACACGGGTCGGACCAAGATCAAGCGGCTCATATTCATCGCAAGCCGCTGCGACAATCCTGCGATGCAATTGGAAGCCCTAAGGATGGCTTATGATGAAATCAAAAAGGGGGAGAACACGCAGCTTTACCGTGAAGTGGTTCAGAAGATCGAAGGTCGATTGGGTCCCAACTATGAGATGGATGCTGCATGGTGCTCTACGATTGAGCGAAAAGACGAGCAGAGGAAAGAAAAGCTCGAAAGCGAACTCAATGCTTATAGGGTAATTCAATTTATTCTACTAAACTTTTTTTTCTTTTTAAATTGTTTAGGTAGGGTGACTTTCTTCTTTATTTATTAATTTTCAGACGAATTTAATCAAAGAAAGTATTAGAATGGGATACAATGATTTTGGGGACTTTTACTATGCTCATGGTGCATTGGGGGATGCTTTTAAAAGCTATATTAGAACTCGCGATTATTGCACTACGTCAAAGCATATTATTCAGATGTGTTTGAATGCAATTCTTGTCAGCATTGAGATGGTTCAATTTAGTAATGTGACTAGCTACGTTAGTAGAGCTGAGCTAACACCTGAGGCACTTGACCCCCCCACTGTTGCTAAGCTATGTTGTGCTTCTGGTTTGGCTCATTTGGAGGCTAAGAAGTACAAGCTTGCTGCTCGTAAGGTTTGTCAACTTATAACTTGTCATCATGGATTCTTTTTCTGTTTGACGTTAGTTGATATTACATGCTATCTTTTATTGGCCAGGTGTATTGAAGTTAATATGCCAAAAATCTGTCGAAGAGATTAGTAGTATATATATGATTCATTTGATTTTTGCTTGTTGTGTATCTCTGAAAATGGGTTCTTATTCACATTGTATAATTGATACAAAATTCCAAGTTTCATCCTTTATAAACTCATTGTCTAGTGGCTGGTATTTGGGTTCGAAATATTTTCGTACTATAATCTCAAAATGATATGCCTGGAACTTGAGCCTAGTAAGTTTTTATGGACTCAATTCAAACAATCTACTAGGTATCACGCAGCACACTGCATTCTAGAAGGAAGCCTGAAATAATCTTTTAGTTCTTGTTTTTGCCATAGATTATGGCAAAAAACTTTCGACACTTGGCTAAATTGATATGAGAAAATCAGTAGAATAGTACTCTTTTGATGGGAATGCCGTCGGTTGTGTGTAGGGGTGCTTAATGAGTTGAGCAACTCGAACTCAATTCGGTCAAAGCTCGATAAAAACTCGACTCGGGATGACTCGACTCGAGACCTTAACGAGTTGATTCGAGCAAAGTCCAACTCGGCTCGATAAGTCACGAGCAGCTCGTTAATTTTTTTTATATAATTTTTTCAGTAATCTTAAAAAATTATTTCATTAAAAAAATACTAATTTACTAATAGATAATAGAAAAGATGATAAATTACTAATCTATTAATTTTCTAATAAACAATAAAAAAAATACTAAATTATTAATTAGTATTTTGCTTCACTCAAAAACCATATTTATTATTTGAATGTATTTGTGGATTGTTACTTTTGAGTTTAGACTTTGAAATTGTTTCATACACTCTTTTGATAATATTTTTGGTTAAATTTATTAATTTATGTTTATATTAAGCTCTGTATAGTATTAGCAGATTGTATCTATAATTAAGAAAATAAGGTAAAAATTTCGGCGAGCTTAACGAGCAATGAGTCGAGCAACGAAATTTTTTAACGAGCACGAGTCGAGTACTGTCCAACTCGCGATCGACTCGCTCAATAAGCAACCCTAGTTCTGTGCCTTGAGGGCCTTAATTAATTTGAAGTTTTCTTGACAGCTTTATAAGGTTGAGGGTTTATTCTTTTGATATTGTAAGAGTGGGGTTCTGAGATTAGTTGTATTTTGACCCAATTATCATTTCATTGTGGGATTGCAGTTTTTGGAAGTTGGTCCAGAATTGGGGAATTCGTACAGTGAGGTTATTGCTCCTCAAGATGTTGCTACTTATGGAGGACTTTGTGCACTTGCAAGCTTTGATCGAACTGAGCTAAAGGCATCTATCTGTCTCTACTTTCCCTTCCCGCTCCCTTATTTTTCATCCATGTCTTACGTCATTTAATATATTTCTTAGTAATTGAATGCTTTTATTTTTCAGAACAAAGTTATAGACAATATCAACTTCCGGGATTTCTTGGAGTTAGTACCTGAAGTGAGGGAGCTTATTAATGATTTTTACTCAAGGTATATCATCTTCATGTTTTAAGCTTAGATTTCCATTGTTGTTGGGTTGAAAAGTGTTTTTCAAAAATATTATAGAAAAGTGTTGTGTAAAAGTGTGGTTTGTTAATTTAAGTGTTTGGCATTGCTGTGAAAGTGTTGTGGAAAGCTAAAATGTCTATTTTAAACATATGATGGAAAGTATATTTAATTGTAAAATATGAAGAATAAAAGAGGGTGTTTTGATAATTTTACACCCAGAAGCACTTTTTCAAAAGATAAAAGCACTATTATTTAGCTTTTGCGTTTAGGTTGAAAAGCTGGCTTGAAAAACACTTTATATCTCAAAAGTTCCGTGTTCTTTGTTACTTCCGATGCCAAAAGTGCTTTTGGCTCCAAAAGCACTTTTCAACCATAATGTATATCTAGGCCTTAGTTTCTCTGCAATGGTGTAAAGGAATATGTTTTGGACATTAAGGAAGTTGTAGAATTCTTTTGGTATTTGTCCTGGCTTATTACTTGAGGCAAAGAATAAGAGGAAATATTGTAAGGAGGCAAGATGGTGAGTTGTTTTATGCTGTCATTCTTGTTGGTAGTAACTATGATAAATAGCATAAAATGTACTTGATTACTTTGGTTACTAATGAGGAGCATGTATTTGTTAATTGTTATTAGTCCAACTGATTATAATTATGATAAATAGCATAACATGTACCTGATTACTTTGGTTACTAATGAGAAGCACGTATTTGTTAATTATTATTAGTCCAACTGATGATAACTATGATATATAGAATAATATGTGATTACTTGGTGTTTCCAGCCAGTCGTTTGTTATTAATCCAACTAATGAGAAGCACTTATTGTTATCTGGTGATTTAGATTGTAACTCTTTTTTTTCTTATTGCAGCCATTATGCTTCTTGCTTAGAATATCTTGGAAACCTCAAACCAAACCTGATGCTTGACATCCATTTATATAACCATGTTGAGACCTTATATGATCAAATCCGCAACAAAGCCCTCATCCAGTATACCCTCCCATTTGTTTCTGTTGATATGCGAATGATGGCCGATGCCTTTAAAACAAGTGTTTCAGGGCTAGAGAAAGAACTAGAAGCCTTGATTACTGACAACCAGATACAGGTATTTGTGGCACTGGTATATTGCTTATATACGTTTTATCAGTGCATGGGTACACGTGTGCAGCTTTTCAAATATCAGACCCAATTGGTTTGTTAATTCTTCTGCATCCCCTCCAGCGGCCAATGAGTACAAATTTCATATAATTTCTTACGAAGATTATATAATGTCTCTGCAGGCTCGGATAGACTCGCACAACAAAATTCTTTATGCACGGCATGCAGATCAAAGAAATGCAACTTTCCAGCGGGTTTTGCAAACCGGAAATGAATTTGATCAGGACGTCAGGGCAATGCTGCTGAGGGCAAATCTTCTCAAGCGTGACTGCAATCTTAAGGCTTCCAGGAAAGTCTGAACCATGGACTGAAGCTTGACCCGGAAATTCGTAATAAGGTTTGGCCTTGGTTCCTGTTATACAAAGGAAAGATTGGGTCCATGGTGGTGGAGAGTGCATTTAATGGATTTCGGGCAACATTATTTTGTATATACACTAAAATTTTCTTACGAGTTTTCAATTATTGTTTTCTTAGTTGACATTTTTTTAAAATTTCTGATCATGGTCCTTGTTCTTTTATTCTATTTTGTTTTAAATAACTACCATAACACTAATACAAACCTGAATGCACAATCTGATTGAAGCAAGGCTTTTTAATTCTAGATGCCCTGCCGAGTGCTTTGTTTCTACATATGTATGAATTCATTTACTGTTGATAAATTCTCAGGTCCAGCTGATTTCTGCCTAATTCTCTGCATATGATCCATTTGTGCCAATTTTGCGGCAACGGTATCAATACGGGCCTTGTTACTACATAATATACGGCGTGTTATTATCATTTGGGCCTTTTGATTTTCATGTGTAGTGATGGACCCTTTTCCTTTTTAGGCTGTAGGATCATTTCAAGTTTTTTCATCTTTTGCTGCTGCTGCTGCCATATTTGATTAAATTTGGTAGCAAACCCCGTCTTGCTTCGATGGTTCTTTGAGTGTTCAATTCTTTGGACCGGATGGTCAGGTTTGGGTGTGCACGGCTTTTGTTACCAGGATCAACGCACCGGTAAGGGCCAACTGGTTTGGTGGCTAATGTCATCATGTTTACGGATTGGTACCTTCGTTGGTTGTGGTGTTAGTAGTCAGAGTCGACCATCAAGATAGGGGTTTCTTTATTCGAGATGGGTTACGGATTTATACCTTCCTGTAGAATGAAGCTTGGATTGGATCATTTGATTAAAGAAAGTGATTATAATAGTTCTCTTGATATAAGATTGTAATATCTGTAAACCGATTAGAAACTTTTAAATTTAATGAATTGATATAAAAGTTTCTTGTCAAAACAACAGGCGTGTGTTTGTCGGGGGATGAATCAAGTATTGGATGAATTTGATGATAACCAAAGCATGAATCGGGTAAGATTCATGACTCACTGGCCACTGCTATATCCCAGAATGTGCTTGTAACAAACAACAGTTGAAAGAAAAGGGCCATCCTTTGCAATTCAGGTAATCAAACATACCATTCCTGTTGTACCAAAAGTTTGATGTCGGATTTCATGCTCAAAATGAGGAAAGAGGAAAATATGGGCTGAAAGGGAGAGTGAAATTAAATGTCAATGTTAATGCTAATGCCTATACCAATGTCTATCGCTGTAGCCTGTAGGTACTTGGATCTTTTTATTTTAGGGATAGGCTCATAAAAGTGTAGGATGAGTCCATTTTTTTTTATCGTTTCAATTTTGATTTAAAAAGTACAATTTTTATAATGCAATTTTAAGATGAAAATCCAATGAGCCTTACACATAATTATTTTCCTATACGCAATACTCTTGGCATCTTCGTATTGTTTAGTGCGTGAGAGTGCATGAAAGAGGAATCATTCCATGCACTTGATTGGTTGGGACTGAATTCCTAAAGCCAACAAGACATTATCTTTGGTTCCTTGTATTGATCTTGCAACTTGAGCCATGACAGGTACTATTATCGGTTGATGGTTAACGGTTGTCTTGTCCATATATCATGTTTCCAGCTTGTCATTCGTAGGACTTGATTTCTTTGGGTCTAAGGCCTGTTATTTTGGGCCTAATCCGATCCTGCTCTGAAGCTGGTAAATATTTTCATATCAACCCGACCTGCCATTGCAATAAATCAAAGACAACCAAGCTTGGGGAACCTGTCTTCATCTGGTTGTAGCTTCAACATTTTAGTAACAATAAGTGTGCTTCCACAATTATTCAACCTTTTATTCCCCATCTTCTACTACTTGCCCCTAAACTCCCAATGAAATAAGATCAAAGTTTTTGAAAACGAAACAAATATAACACGAATTAATTGCATCATATCTCTCAAACTATGACCTTTATTTTAAATTACTCATCAAACTTTTGAATATTCAAATTTCACCCTCAAACCATGATTCCCATTCTAAATTGATCTTTGACCTTTTGAACGTTCCAATTACATAAGTGTTCACACGACAACTAATTATTTTTATAACAATTTTATTAACATGGGATGTGATTAGCATGCATTAATAGTTTGGAGTTAAAATTGAAATATTTAAAAATTTAAGGACCAATTTATAATGAGAGTCATGGTTTGAAGATGAAATTAGAAAATCTAAAAGGTTGGGTACCAATTTAGAATGAGATATATTTTTTGGGGATGAAACTAAAAAAAATCGAGGGTCAAATTAAAGTGAAGGTCATAATTTTAAATAAGATTGAAGTGTTTAAAAGTTTAAGATTATTTTAGAATGAAGATCATAGTTGAGAATGTGGTGCAATTAACTAATCCAATGGTATTAAATATGTGTAAAACTAAAAAAAATTATATTGAGTAAGTGGATCCTAACCCTAATATATATATATACAGCGTTAGGATCCACTTACACCTAGTGTAAAACTAAAAAGTTTTTCACATTTTTAAGATCGTTGGATGAGGAAAAATCAAAGGCTGAGATTAACTCCTTATTTTTCTCCCAGTGAATATCTTCACATTTCCTACTGTTAATCTTAGTCTTTGATTTCCTTTCATCCAACGATCATAAAAAGATTTAAAGCTAAAAAGTTTTACACTATGTAATTAGATCATGGACTATATATATATATATCATTCATGTGACTAACTTTAATGATTATTTCCAAAACCCTAAACATAAAACATGTACATATTTAGCATAGGCGTATTACATGTAGTTGGTAATGGATGGATCAAAAGCCTTTGAAAAGATAGTGTGCTTTATCGAAGTTTTCAACTTTGAGAGGTGCCTTTTTCAACTTAGGACAATGAGGGGATGGTGTTGGGACCGTGAAAAGCAAGGCGAGGGTATGGCTTTGCTTTCATTTTTCTTTTGTGGAAGCAGTATTTCCGAGAAAAGATGAATGGCGTTTTTAATGTAAGCTGAATGGGGATAGGCTGGAAATAGTAGGAGAAGCCATTAATGCAACCGCAAAAAGCAAGAGAGCAAGGAGGAGGGTGGGTGGAGTGGGCCCTCTCCTCTCTTTCCAAAAAAAAAAAATCAACCAAAATGTTACCTTAAATTCAATGCGTTTACCTCTTTTGCTCGAATGATTTAAATCTAAAATGATCCAAACTCAAGCTCGTTCGATAGAAAATTCAACACCCACAACTGAGCCATCTCGGATTCGTTTCATCTGCCCATATTAACTCACTCCCTCTATAATTGGACTCGCTTTTCGTTGAACACCTTAGAAAACTAACAAGTTATTGAGATTTTATTTAATGGGCTTTCAATTTCTCTATGCAAAATAGTACTTCCTTTTAAAGTTAGCTCTTCGATTTCATCAATGGCAGCTAGTTTTTGTATTCTTTTTTCCCCGAACATAATTACTAGTCATCACCCACTCCGACAGTACTTACAAGGGGAGGTGAAATTCATTTACCGTAGAGAGATTATTGCAGTACTTTAGGTGAAGAAAAAGATTGATTGTTGAGTATAAAATTGGGAGTTGAAATGGGTCCTTTGAGAGGAAGATGAAGGAGAATCTTAAGGGGAGAGGGAGAGTGATGTGTTTCCCAGTGCAATGCAACAGTCATGGTTAAGACTTAAGATTGCCTTGTGTCGGCAAAACATGGCATGTGCCTTTCTAATTTCTGCTATACTAATCAATGTAAAAGGTGCAAGTATAAATTTTAAGTTTATTATATAGATTTATATATAAATTTAGTATTTTTTTAAAAAATTAATGTATTTTTGACATGAAATCTTAACCATTTATCTGTGAAATATCTGTTTTGTCATTTTCTAGCTCATGTGGTAGCATGACTTTCCATTAATGATCTATATGTTAAAGGTTATGAGATTGAATCTCACAGAGTATAAATTCTTCAATTTCTTTGATGGATTATGTCCATGCAAATTGCCTGTAGCAGTATGAACTACCATCTCTACAGAAAAAAAAACCGTAAATTCTCTTTGTTTGATCATAAACTACAGATCCCAATGTATTGAAATTTTTATGGGGAGAGAGAGAGAGAAGAAAAAGGGGCAGCAAATCTGAAACTCTGTCCCATCAATGTCGACGTCAGAAATTGGGTTTAGACTTCTCCCTTTTGTTTGTTTGTTTTTAACTTACTGTGTCGTAAAATCAGGTAAAAATGATAAATAAAAAAAAAAGTAAATATTTTCACTGTCAGTCACTGACTCTTGAAGAGAAGAAAGAATCCACATATTACGTTTATCTTCAGCTTTTCCTTTTTTTTTTTGGAGTTTTGTTTTCTAATTTTTTTTATCTAAAGCTTTAAGAGTAGTGCAGTTAGAGTGCGGATCATGCAGAGAACGAGCTAAAAGCATGATATCACACAAAATCCTTGCCAAAACTAGGTTTCGCATTTACTATCTTCTTTGAAACGCTCCAGCCAATTGATTTTAAAGCTTTTTTCTTCACTTTCTCAGACCTTAAACACCAAGAAAAAAGGGGTTCTTTTTTGTTAAAGAGAAAGAGAGAGAGGGATTGAGAACGAAGTGCTAAGCAGCAGTAAACAAACACAAAAGGGGTTTTGCTTGCCTTCTTTCTCTTTTTTTCTCTCCATTCGAAATCACTTCTTTTGTAGAGAGGGAGTTGGAGACATTTCCAGTTTTTTCATCCGCGTGTCTCCTCTATCCTCTCTGTTTATCCTTTTTTTTTACTTTTCATTTGGTTGGTTTTTGTGGAACACTGTTTTTTTATGTATATTTTTAGTCTGCAAATTTGGGTTTTGATGGGAGTGTAAGTGTAAAGGCTGTGCGGGTAAATTTGTAGAGAAAAGAAAGGAAAAAAAAGGAAACCAAAGCTGAGTGCTTGATAGGTACTAATGAAAGCCTTCTGGGTGCAAGAATAGTTGCAGACATCCCTTATAGCAACAACATGTCAACTGGTGCTTTTGGACTTCCTAAGAACATGTTCAACTCTTCAGGCCTCTCTCTTGCTCTTGTAATGATAAACAATTAACACACTTACTTGCGTAATGTTTCTGTTGCTAGCTTTTTTTTTTTCTTTGGAAAACTAATCTGGGTTGTTTTATTTTTCTCCGATGTTTTTGCAGCAACAACCAAACATAGATAATAACCAAGGACATGAGACCAGATTGGGTGAGAATTTCGAGGCAAGTATTGGGAGAAGAAGCAGAGAAGAGGAACACGAGAGCAGATCTGGCAGTGACAACATGGATGGTGCTTCGGGTGATGATCAAGAAGCCGCCGCTGACAAACCTCCGAGGAAGAAGAGATACCACCGACACACTCCTCAGCAAATCCAAGAGCTTGAAGCGTATGATTTCATGCTCCTTTTTTCAGCTGCTTCAGTTTTTTTCTCCTATGGAACATCGCCTTAATAAGTTATGTGCCTTTTTGATTCCTTCATTGGTTTTGGTTTAGTCTCTTTAAGGAGTGCCCTCATCCCGATGAAAAACAGAGATTAGAGCTCAGCAAAAGGCTTTGCTTAGAAACCAGGCAGGTCAAGTTCTGGTTTCAAAATCGCCGTACTCAAATGAAGGTATATGCAAGAACCAACTTTTTTTTTTGCTGGGACTGTGTAGTAATTTTGAAACTTTGATAATTTTCCAGACTCAATTAGAACGCCACGGGAACTCATTGCTAAAACAGGAGAACGATAAGCTTCGAGCTGAAAACTTGTCTATTAGGGATGCTATGAGGAACCCGATTTGTACCAACTGTGGGGGTCCAGCAATTGTTGGTGATATATCACTTGAAGAGCAACATCTTAGGATTGAGAACGCTCGCTTAAAAGATGAGTTAGATCGTGTTTGTGCACTTGCTGGCAAGTTTTTAGGGCGTCCAATTTCAGCACCTCCAATGCCAAACTCAAGTTTAGAGCTTGGAGTTGGTAGCAATGGCTTTGGTGGTTTAAGCACCGTGGTCGCTACAACATTGCCTTTGGGGCCTGATTTTGGAGGTGGGATTACAAATGCTTTGCCACCAATGGTTACTCCTCCTAATAGACAGACAGTCGGAGTCACTGGACTCGATAGATCTGTGGAAAGATCGATGTTTTTGGAACTCGCATTGGCTGCCATGGACGAACTGGTTAAGATGGCTCAAACTGATGAACCACTTTGGATTAGGAGCTTGGAAGGTGGAAGAGAAATGTTAAACCATGACGAGTACTTGATAACATTCACTCCTTGCATTGGCTTGAAACCAACCGGCTTTGTGACTGAGGCTTCTAGAGAGACAGGTTTGGTGATTATCAATAGTTTGGCCCTCGTTGAAACTTTGATGGACTCGGTTAGTCAACTAAATACCCCTCAAACTAATCAGTCTTCTCTTCAATTTAAGGGCTTTGAACTCATTTTATAAGCATTTTCTCACTTAGATGTGTAGAATTGTAGACTAACGTTTCCACTTTTCTTTTCCATAGGATCGTTGGACGGAGATGTTTCCTTGTATGATTGCTAGAACATCAACTACTGATGTGATATATAATGGCATGGGAGGAACCAGAAATGGTGCACTTCAACTGGTATAATCGTTGATTTCCTGCGAAATTTAAATCCTTATAAGTCCTTCCAAATAATTCTCCATGTTTTATTTTGGTTTCAGATGCATGCTGAGCTCCTAGTCCTCTCTCCTTTGGTACCAGTTCGTGAGGTCAGTTTCTTAAGGTTCTGCAAGCAACATGCAGAAGGGGTTTGGGCAGTGGTCGATGTATCCATTGATAGCATCCGAGAAAGTAGTTCAGGTGCACCCACGTTTGTGAGCTGTAGGAGGCTTCCTTCTGGCTGTGTTGTGCAAGATATGCCTAATGGATACTCCAAGGTACCTTTTTTTTCATAGCATATAGGAAACACAAGATTTTAACGAGTCCATAGACATTTGCATCCCCAACTTTTAAGATGGTTGTGCATACGAGAACTTTTTTTTTCTAGTGATTACTCAGTGCAAACCCCACACTGTCAGTGTCTGGTTTACTTCCAAATGAATTAAACTCCCCCCTCTCAAGAATCTGAACCTTCCTCCTGCCTTAATTTACTGATTTCGATGCTTGTAATGTCAAAAAATTGTTTAAATTTCAAGTTTCAACATCTGGGTTTGCTTATTCACAATAAAATAAATAACCCCCACTACAACACCGCGGAACGAGGCTGCTCCCATTGTTTATATATATATCCGTGGAAGCCTCTATTTACAGCTACTATTTTGCTAGTTTTTTAAACACATTAATTTCATAAATATATATCTACAAAATGCATTGGAACCCTGAGCTTCTTATTGAATAGAATAATGTATTCTTTGATGGTGCCTCGATTCTCTCATTTTGAAGCCTTTGCATGTAACCGCGGGTGGACCGGATTTCCAGCCCCGGCTGATGTCTTTGTTTTTGTTAGTTTTCGTTTTCCTTCACGTAGAGAAAGACCCTTTAGTCAAAATGCCATAGGATAGCCCTTTCTATTTGTATTTATCTGTGATTTTGAGGCGACTTTAGTACACATCTCGATGTCACACCGCACTCAAACTAATAACTTTCGTTGAGCCCAATTTTTTTTTTCAAGATTTTTTCCCCGTATTTTTCTATTGCATAAATCTATATCATTTGTCAGTACTTATATTACAGAATGCCGGGTGCAAATCTTGAACGACTTACTGAATTACTGTAATGTAATTAGCAAGTTATTGGAAATTTTGCAGGTTACATGGGTTGAACATGCCGAATATGACGAGACTGAAGTTCACCAACTCTACCGTCCTTTACTAAGCTCCGGTATGGGCTTCGGTGCCCAACGGTGGGTGGCCACCCTTCAACGGCAATGCGAATGCCTTGCTATATTTATGTCCACCACTGTTCCCACTAGAGATCACACTGGTATCTAGTTTACCTATATAAATAATTACTATTTAACTACAACTGCACTGCAATATATGAACATGGGTGATTATTTATTTTGTCTTTGTAGCTATAACTGCAAGTGGGAGACGAAGCATGTTAAAGCTAGCTCAACGTATGACCAATAATTTCTGTGCCGGTGTTTGTGCCTCGACGGTTCATAAATGGAACAAGTTGAACGTCGGGAACGTGGATGAAGACGTAAGGGTTATGACTAGGAAGAGTGTCGACGACCCCGGCGAACCACCGGGCATTGTGCTGAGTGCCGCTACATCAGTTTGGTTGCCGGTGTCACCTCAAAGACTGTTCCATTTTTTACGTGATGAACGGTTGAGAAGCGAGTGGGACATATTGTCCAACGGTGGACCAATGCAAGAAATGGCCCACATTGCTAAAGGCCAAGATCATGGCAACTGCGTCTCCCTCCTCCGTGCCAGTGTAAATATACTCCCTCTCTTGTTTCTTGTCATTTTCACCTATGGATAAATAATTTAGGGTAGGGTTTAGAGGGTAAAATTGAAAGGACGAGCTGAGTCTGGAATTTGGAAGTATCTATGACTACAATAGTAGGATATTAAAAAACAGGGACCTTTAAAAAGTTCATAGCATAGGACCCTTTTAACCTTTCCTCTTTTTGTTATTTTCGTTGCAGGCCATGAACCCGAACCAGGGTAGTATGCTGATATTGCAAGAGACGTGCATAGACGCGGCCGGGTCGCTTGTGGTGTACGCGCCCGTTGACATTCCAGCAATGCACGTGGTTATGAACGGTGGTGATTCTGCATACGTGGCACTCCTACCTTCAGGTTTCTCAATTATCTCGGACGGTCCTGGCTCTCATGGGCCCATCTCTGATGGACAGGTTAACGGGAGCGGCGGTTGCAATGGAGGGTCGCCGAGAGTGGGTGGATCGCTTCTTACGTTGGCGTTCCAAATATTGGTCAACAGTTTACCTACGGCGAAGCTGACGGTAGAATCGGTGGAGACGGTCAATAATCTTATATCGTGCACCGTGCAGAAGATCAAAGTTGCCCTTCAGTGCGAAAGCTGACGTGATTTTGACTCGAGGGCAGTTTCTGTAGTAGTTTTTATTTCCCCTTGCTTTTTGTTGAATTTCTAATTGCAATTCTCTGGTGTACTTAGTGATACTAATAGGTTTGGTTGTGGTGAGACTAAAGAAAGTGCGACTCGGTGAGTTCGGAGGGCGTTGAGTCAAGAACGAACCGCTCATGGAGACTCCTTGCGTGGTGATGGCCGACTTAGTCAAGTGGACAGAACGAGGCAAGGGTGGTGGTTCGGGTATTGACTCAGATCGACCTTCTGAAATGTTTGGAAAGAGCTCCTCTTATTGTTGTATTAATCAAATCTAATTTTCAGGGTTGGGAGTTTAGATTTTTCGATTGCATATCCCTGTTGTACTCATTATCTCATGGAACATCTTTGTTTTGAGCTGTCACTTTCTTTAGGGTTTTGGCTTCTGGCAACTTACTAATTTCACAACTGGTTTAATTTTTTGTTTTAACCTAAAATTTATTATTTGCATTTTTACTTAAATTTTGTATGATTTGGTTTTTATTTTCATATTTTTTACTAAAAACTAAAAAAATATTAATATAATATATAATTTATCAATAATTCAATTTTTAATATGATATCCGTTTGTTAATTTTTAACGTTTTCATGTTTGGTTTATTTAATATTAGTTAATCTTTACTCTTATTATTTTTAAACATATTCTTTTATATTTTGTCAATATTTCTTTTAGTATTTGTAAACATATTTATTTATATATTCATTGTTTTAACTTTAAAGTTCACCTTTTGTTAAATTTGATATATATTTTCACTAATGTTTAAGATGTAAAATTATAAAAGGATAAACAGAATAAACGAGTTTTTAAAAGAATTATTCATAAACATAAATGTATTAGATATATTTATATTTTTATTCATTTATTTATTAAATAAATATTAACATTTCGTTTATATTCATTTATTTAACCTAACGAATTTGATTGAATCCTCTTCATTTACACCCTTTTAAGTTTGGCGTAAAAGCACATTTGATGGAGGGCGCGCAAGTAGAAGCAACGAGCCACCGATGCAAGTTCTGATCATACGAGACTGAGAGGGTGGGGGTTAGGTTGAAAGTTGCAAAGGATGCATTAAATGCGGGCGCAGAAGCTGTTGGGGAAAGCTTGTCTGTCATTAAATGCAAAGGGTTTGGCTTTGTCTCAAGGAATACGTGGAGGAAGCCAATGAAACGGAGCCACGTTTCTGGAGGTATTTCACGGACATGAAAGTGGGCAGACAGAAACGGCGTTTCTGGATGATGATGCAAAAAGGATAAGGGATATGTATGGTTTGGGTTGGCAGCTTTTGCCTTGCTTTCGGTTTGGTAGCTTTTTTTATGGTGATGAATTTATGGGGTGGAACAGGCTAAGCGTTAAATCCTTTCACGTTAGCACCGAGGAATATGAGTTTTGGACGTTTGAGTTGATATGATTGTTGTTCGTCTACATGCAATAATGTCATTGCAGGAATCCCAAACAGACAGCTGTGTCGTTTTTTTCAGACCCAGGTTGTTGTTTGTGGACAATAAAAACAGACAGCTATGACGTTTGAGTTGATGTTTTGGTTTCTGCCGCCTTGAAGAAGGAAAGAAATGGTGGGAAACCATAGGCTGGATATTTCTCTTTCAGAACAAATTTCAAGGGGTGGAGTTTAACTTAATCAAAGGCTGCTCAGAGTCAAATCTTGCATGCACTTGTTGGGTGCGGCGGAGTTCTCAACTCCAATTAGGTGCAGAATCGACATCAACACTTGGAATGAAACAAATTATTAATTTTAAAATAAGGGCATAAAGTCATTGAGTTTTTAAAGTACTTTCATTTTATTCACTAAACTTTTAAAACTTATATTACCATCACTAAACTTTCATTTAAACTCTTACTAAGTTATCATTCTTTTAAAATAAAAATAATTAGACCTTCCTCTAATGTTTGATCTTAGTTCTATTTCCGAGTCCAGTGACTGGGCCAAACCTATGGTGGGAAGTATCATAGCTCCCCAAAATTGTTATGTTCAATTATTTTTAGGTTCTTTATAATTTTAAGAATTTTATATAATAATTAGTTTATATATTTTATTTTATTATTATTTATATTTACCCATGAAATTTTATCCGGATAATTTGAAGATACCTTGAATGCATAGTTAATCAGCATCAAGTTATAAATGAAAACCAAAAAATATCGTATAAAAGGAGAGAGAGAGAGAGCAAAAAGGAAACAGAAGTAGTGAAGTGCAGTATTTTGTCATTTGAGAAGATGGGATTCGATTTTCTCTTCTTTTTCTGTTACGTAGATTCCTTTTTTCTCTTTACGATATACAATCGTTATAGTTCCATGCATGCACGTACAAGAGGAGGATGCTCGAGAATCAGCATTACGTGTTTACAAGTAAGGTGGACGAGGGCCAAGGTGAAAGTCAAGAAAATGAAATGATCGTATTATATTAAATTATTAAAGTTTTATATAAATATACTACAAGGTCTATTCGAAAGAGGAAATATCAGTTGGCCTTTACGGCTTACGAGAGGAGCCCCATTTTTGGACTTTCTATTTCACATGCTTGTGGGTTCCACCCTATCCTTCCGTCAAACCCATCTTACGCTTCAACATGAGATGATATGTGTGTGTATATATATATATTGTGTATTATTTTTATTCAAACTTTAATATTAGATCATCTAATATTTTTAAAAAATAATTTAAGTTTCTAAAAGTATAAAAAAATTGATTTTTTTAGAATGTGTTATCATGATCTCTTATTATATACTAATCGATATTTTTTTGAACAATTCTTACTTAGGGGATAGAGAAAATTAATTTTGCTCATAATAGATATTGAACTCACAATTAAAAAATATCAATTAAAATTTTTTAATCACGTACTCTAAAAATCGTTAACTATTCACTGACATTTTCATATGATAGGTTTGGATTCAGCTTCATAATTCTCACACATATTTTCACTTTATTTTTTATTCATAGGCCGTGTGAGGCTGTGAGCCATTAGACTAAATTTTCATATTTTTTTTTATTTCTTATGAAACCCTTTAATGCTTTGATCACAACAGCTTTGGGTTTGATATTCAATACAAAGTAATAAATATGAAAAGATGAGGTTGGTATTTGCATTAAATAGCATCCTCAATGGAAGATTAAGATTGCTACACTTCACCGCATTAACTTCCCTTTTCCTTTTGCAAATAAAAAAAGTCAGAAAATCATCATCATAATAATAAGACATTTTTTAATAAAATTTATGTTATTTAATTGACACTGCAACGTTCATTTGATTTAAGAATTGATCAAAATACTCGATGAAATTTATTTTAAAATTTCAAATTTTGGTTTAAGATTGTTTTTTGTTTTTGTAGTAGACTTAATTTATCATTTTCGTCTCTATAATATTTTCATATCAGTTTAACCCTTAAAATTATTTAATTGCATCATTTTATACCATAATCCTAATTTGAACCTTAAACCTTAAACGATAACCCCTAACCCTGAACAATAGTAAATATTTTAAACATTGATGCAATTGATCAACTTTGATGGCTAAATTAATACGAAAATATCATAAGAGCGAAAATGATAAATTGAATCTACTAAGAGGATATAAGTGACCCTTAGGGTGCATTTCGTTCACGAAATGTAAGATTACTAGGGAATAGGATTACTGTAAATGTTGTATTTTGTTGGCTTAGCAGGAATGTAAGATTACCATGTTTGGTTAAAGGAATAAAATATTATTGGAATATATATTTGATCAAATTGTCCTTATTATATATTTGTTTTTTAACAAGTTGGAAAATATTTATATATTTTCTTTAAAAAATTTAAATTCAAAAAATTTATAGATTTTTTTTTACAAAATTGAAAATATAAAAAGGTTTAATGAAAGGGTAAATTTTTATTTTAACCCCTGAACTTCATATAAAATTTTAATTATAGGTTTTTTTGTAAATCTAAAATAGTTTAAGGATAAATTTGTAATTTAACCTTCGTAGAATTTTTATTATTTAATGACAGAAGAAGGATATTTTTGAGAAAAAAATTAAGGGCATTTTAGTCCAAAATATTGGTAATCCAACAATACCTAAGGAAAGGGAGGTAATGACATTCCCGGTAATATACCCCAAAAAATCCACTATTGGTAATCTTACATTACCGGAAATGGGATTCCCGGGCTAACCAAACGGGGGAATGTAGATTTCATTCCCATAGGAATCCCTCATTCCTCCATCCAAACGCCCCCTTAAACCTAAAATTGTTTAGATGTAATATACTAGTTTTCGAGACGACTTAGTTTAATAATTATGAAATTATTAATTATATAGCAATGCACCACACTCATTAATTATTACACATAATATAATCATTAGAAATCTACTTGTTGCTAACAATAACTATATTCTTAGCCCACATTTGATAAATCCATGCCCATCATTAATAAAATAAATAATTTGAATTATATAAAATTTAGTTGCTAAAAGTGAGAAATATTTTCCCCCATATTTTACGAAACTAAAAATAAAACAAATAAACTATGAAGATGGGCTCTTCTTTCTAATAATTTTGGACTTTAAGCATTGGGTGAATCGAATCACGTTTCTTAAACTGGACTGACGGGCCTAACATCATGATGTGTGGTCCAGTAAGCAATGTTTAGCCCCAAAAATCTGTGGTAAACTTTGATCATTAATTGTTTTTGATTAATTGATCATTCATGCTCAGCCCCCAAAAATATTATAACATTAAGTTTAATTAAGTGATAAAATATATATAAATACGTAAATAAATATTTGTTTTAGGATATTTAACCTTAATGTTATCCCTAGTAAAGATGCACAACAAGTTTAATATGTAATTTATTGTTGTTGGTAGTAGTCTACAACATTACAAATTCACATTACTAAATTATATGTTGTTTAAATGATTTATAAACGATTTTTTATTTGAAAGATTAAGTTCATATGATTAACTCATATATCGTAAACATTATATATATATCACATATAATCAATATATTATAAACAATTTATATGTATCATATATAATACAAAGATAAAATATTTTAATTCAAAACGAAAGTATAATTTCCTTTATTTTTTTTCCTTCCCCTGCCATATTTTTCTAACAGTTGTTTTAAAATCCAAGGAAATTTCCCATGATGGATTATGTTTATAGATAACAAACTCTTATTTCAAAGGAAGATGAGGAGAAAGAAGAGAGAAGGAGAGTCGATATTTCAGCACCGTCAATGATACAATAATCTGTCAAATTTATTAATACGACGGCTTGTATTTTTCCATGGACAAATTGGCGACCGGCAGCTTGACTATGAAAATTGAGTTTTTAAAAATATGTTGGAATTAGCCTCGTTAGATTTGGTCTTCTGTAATAGTAATTGGGTGAAAACCTAATACTTTGATGTGCCGGTGGATCTGCGTACAGAGCATGGAAAGTGAAAAGAAAAAGAAGAACGTATATGAATTGTAGGCGATGAGACTCGGGAATCGGTGGGATAGTGGGTGCTGCTTTCATCACCCACCACCACCGACTTTTTCTTTTTCGGTGCGTTCCACTAAAAGGATCAACAAAGTACCTTTAACTGCCCTCGTCTTCAACAATGATGTCATAATTATATATTTCTTTTCCTTATTCTTTAGTTGTCTTTGGATATATATATATATTATGGATTGTGTGTTGATGGTTCAATCTTTTAATTTCATGGCCAGAATTAAACAATTATTATCGATATCTTTTTTGTTTTCAAATATTAATTTTATTTGTAAAACTAAAAAGAAAAAACTCATCGATAATATAATAAATGAGTATCCATATATATAGTTTCATCATTATTTCATGTCATGTCCTTGCATAATAAAAAAATGAAAGAAATAATTAATATTAATACTTCCAATGATTATTTCATAAAAATATAAAACATATTAGTAAGTGTCAAATGTAATGATAACACATAAAATATAATACAATTTTGATTCAAATCGTATACATTATATTATTAAAAATAATTACAAGCTCAAGTAAAAATAATAAAATAAACATATAAAATATTATAAGATTTATTAATAATAATTGAATTAGGAGGTCTAACTACATGATTACCAACACAAAACATGTTTGCAACATAATAATTACTGAAAACTCAAGTTGGATGTATTGATATTATCTGTATTACTTAGAGTTAAAGATTATAGATTATATGATTTAAGATATAAAGTTTATATTTAGAATTTTGAATATAAAATTAAGTTTAAAAATTAGGCTTTAAAATTATTTAATTGTGCGTCTAAATTTTAGATTATTTTATTTGTATGTCAAATAATTTCGTGTAGAAAAAAAAATGGTTGGTATATAGAAATGCATGTTTTGTTTTTTTACAAAATTTGCTTCAATTTAATCACTCCAAAAACCAAATCATGTAAACAAAGCATTAGATGGATAAGCAGTCCATAATGGAATCCCAGTAACCACAGCAAAATCTCTTGGTCCATCAATGGGAATTCCCATCCCAATACTTCCAGCTGAAGCAGCAGCCTGAGAAGAACAATCATGAAAAGGTTCTTTTAATCTCAAGTAGACATTAATAATCCCATTCTTCAACCCCTTGGGATCCATTAGCCGATAACTCAAATACCGCAAACAACTCTCCGGCGAGTACCCTCCGATGAAATCCGTCACCGGAATTCTCGCAAACCCCACGGTTTTTCCACCTCCCGAAGAGCCCTTGCAACTTTTGACTTGAAAGGTAATGAAGCGTGTTTGCATTGGCATTTCCATCACCAGTTTTTCGTTCCAAGTAGGGTAGCTCCCGCCTTCTCTGTCGATCTTGGTCGCCTTGTTGTTGAAAGCGTCGGTCGAAACGACCACGAAGGCGTTCTTCTTGACCGGTTTGTTGTGGATCCTCAGGTCTTCTGCAGACAATATTGTGATCTCCAGAGTGCGAGACTTGGTCTCCATTGTAACTAGCTAGTAAAAGAATAATAAAAGCAAAGCAAAAGCTGAATGAAATTTCAATGGAAACTCGAGATAAAAGAGTCGTTACGAAGAGTTATATACAGATATAGGAAGTTTAGTTTATAAGGAAGGCAGTGGAAGGAGAGAGGTTGCTTCACGTTTAGACTGGAAACCTAATTCAGACAATAACTATAATAAGGGTTTTATTGCTTCAGACACCTCAATCAAATATATCAAATTCTAAATCAGTCCTTAAATTTTAAATGGTTTTAAACAAATCAACAAAAATACCTAGTTGTAATCTTAGGCTTTAATAGCATATAGTATTTTTAAAATATATTGATTAAATTTTAAATATTTGTATAATTATCTCATAAATAATTTAGTTTGATGTACTAAAAACTATTTCTTAAATTTTAATAATACTCTTTCCTAATCTATCAAGTTATTTAAGTAATAAAAATATGTTTAAAATTATATTTCAAATATTATTTATATTAGATTTAGAGTGATATTCAATGTTTAAATTGACATCTAGACTGGTATAATAACATAATTGATAATATAATAATATTTTTAAGATTCCATTAAAACATTTTGAAGTATAACATCCACATAATAATAGTTGGAGATATTCAATTTTGGCGTGAGCCGCGGTTTTAATTTTCTACTATATTTTCTAGCCACCGTCGGCGTAAATTAAAAATTAAACATTCAACGATGGATTTTATGATTTAATACGGTAAAGGACGAATCCAATAATTTTAGTGATTAAAAATATTTGATTAAATATTGATTTTATATTTACTTTAAATTTATTATAAAAAAAGATTTAAAGACTATTTTTGTCTTTATAATATATACAATTTATCATTTTCACTTTTATAATATTTTTTGTTAGATTAAAATTCATAATTATGGACATATATTTTAAATGTGTTTTGTTATCATAAAATATGTCATAAATTAAGTGACCAATTATATTACAAAGTCATAAGATATTAGAAGTGTCATGAAAATAAAAGTGTAGATACTATTAAAATTGTATTTATGATTTGATGAGGGACATATTTATAAATACAAACAATAAATGTTTTTTAAATCAATTATATAAAGGAGTTATGGCCCCCAAGAAATAGATCATCGTAAGAGAATTTATACTTAAGAGAAATCTATCTTCTTGAAATATCACAACCAAAGATTCAAGGATTTCAACCTATAAATTAATTCATATACATTTATGTATCTAGTAATTTTATTTTTAATGATTTGACATGATTAGATCATGTTTGCTTTCATATTTATTATGATTTAATTAAAAAATTCATCAAATTAACCCTAGAAGTTGTTTAATTGTGTCATCATATACCGTTGATCATTATAAATAACAGAACCATTAATTTTTTGCATATGTGGACGCTAGCAATTTTTACCGTTAGTCAATATTATTGATGTGACTTGATGATGTGTCATTTATTTTAAAAAATAAATAGTAAAATATTTATTAAATATTTTAAAAAGATAAATAACAGGTCAGTAAATATTTTAAACATTTTATTATTTATCTTTTAATAAATGTCATGTTATTATTAATTTACGTCAACAATATTGAGTGACGTGAAAATTGCTAGCGACCACATACGCAAAAGACTAAGGATTATGTTAGTCAAAACAGTCAACGATATAGGATGATGCAATTAAATAATTTCGAGATCTAAATTGATACGAAAATATATATCATAGGGGCACAAATAATAAATTTAGTCTACTATAAAGGCAGAAGTAGTCCTTAAGCCAAAAAATTAATACGATAAAACACAAATCTTCCTATTTTAAACCTTAATTTAAATTTTATAAATATTTAGGTTGAAAGTAAGAAATAATGAATATGTTTGAGATAATTGAATTATAATTTAGAGATTATTAATACAATGATAATTTAAATCATATTTTAAGTAAGATTAAAACTTTACGTTTAACCTAATCATAAAAATGATATAACACAAATAAGTTGAAATGATCAGAAGAACCCTAAATGACTAAACTCAAGACTAGATGGTGAGTGTCCGACGGTCCGACGGATGATGGATGGAAACACAGCATTACTGCTAAAACAAGGGGAACTTTGAAGTCTTCTTCTTTCTAGCTCAACTCTGTCCATCAGATCAACGTGATCTGCACTTCTAGCTTAACCAGTTGTGTGTTTTATAAGTAGAGCTTCTGGTAATGCCCTCCTTGCGCTGTAAAAATGTTTACATTTCAATGCATGTTTCACAGTGTTTTGGAAAGGGAACAGAAACCGAAACTTTACGATGACCATGTCAACACAACTGTATTTGGATAAACTAAAGTTTGGATGAATCTTTGATGGACCTGTAGAGCCAATACCTCTTCCTAAACATCACCACTTTTGGAATATGTGCGTCAATGTGTTGTTTACGTATTATTGATCAATCTTGTAATTGGTTAATGAGCCATCTTGCTTTACCCTACATCATCGATAACACCTTCTCATGAATACGAAGAGGATGGCCTGCACCGTAGAAAAACAAAGAAAGCAAATTCAAACATTAAAAAGAAAACAAGGGGAAAAAACTTTGTCAATGCAAAAGGAGAAAAGCTGGAATCGTATATTCGGATTTATGACTTGGGATCACTCGATAATGATGTACAGTGAGCATGCTCAATCAACTGCAGAATTAATGATTGGGCTAATAAAATACTCACATGCATGTGTAAGGAGATTACAATTGCTGAAGCTTCTGGTGCAGACATTTTGTCCTCAGAAAGGGTAAAAATGAAGAAGCAAAAGCTGTAAAAATACAATCAATGGATATGTGCTAAAGGTAGCCTGGGTTTAAGAAAGTTGCAAGTATTGAATGAGACTTGTATTCTGCCATATATATGGCTGCGTTGACCTAGGCAGGGTCCTTGTGGGTCGCTTAAGCGCATACTTAAGTACCCAATAGTTGCCCTTTCATGCTTCAAGTAACAACAGCTGGTTCTCGAGGAAATTAATAAAGTTAAAAGAGAACCAGCTGTTCCATTTATTCATTTGCAAAGAGGATAAATTTTCTATAAAAATAGTATAAAAAAAAAAAATTGTTGCCCTTCGCCTAACCATATAGTGAGAATAATATAGAGAAAAATAGTGCACGTGGCTGAATCTGATTGATATTCTAAGGTGGACGAGCCGTGCAGTTATGTTGTTCGACGGTTAAAAAACGGTGTGACTGGTTAAATAAATAACCGGTTAAAATGTAGACCAGTTATGTTATATCATTTAACTGAAAATATTATCAAATACAATAACATATTAAGTAGCGCTTATATAATGTAATATGTAGCGCTTATTTAATAAAATAGGTTAATTACTTAATTTGTTATTATAACATATTAGTTAAACACCTAAAATATTACCAAGGATAACATAACCGGTTAATTACTGGAAATATTATTAAGCACAATAACATATTAGGTAGCGCTTATATAACGTAATAGGTAGCGCTTATATAATAAAATAGGTTAATTATTTAATTTGTTATTACAACATATTAGGTAAACGCCTAAAATGTTACCAATGATAACATAACCGGTTAATTACTGTAAATATTATCAAGCTCAATAACATATTAGGTGGCGCTCATATAACGTAATAAGTAGCGCTTATATAATAAAATATGTTAATTACTTAATTTGTTATTACAACATATTAGGTAAACGCTTAAAATGTTACCAATGATAACATAACCGGTTAATTACTGGAAACATTATCAAGCATAATAACATATTAGGTAGCGATTATATAACAAAATAGGTAATTACTTAAATTGTTATCAGTTATGATAAACTTACCTTAAGAATAAATGCTAACAAAATTTAAACTACTTATTACATTAAAATACCTACCGGTTTTTTAAGGTTGTTAATAATGTAAACGGTAAAAAAATAGGCGCTACCTATTACATTAAAATACCTATCGGTTTTTTTGAATGTTGCTAATAATGTAAACGGTAAAAAAAAATAGTACTACCTATTACATTAAAATACCTACCGGTTTTTTTTGAATGTTGCTAATAATGTAAACGAGAAAAAAAAATAGGCACTACCTATTACATTAAACTACCTACCGGATATGTTGAAAGTTTCGATTTCATTTAAATAAGTATTAACACTTTTGGAATTTAAAAGAAAAACAGTAATAGCACCTATAAAGTATCGATACTTTATAAAAATGTATCGATACTTTACAATATAAGATGTAAAAATATGATAAAACCAGTTTCATTATGATAAAACCGGTAAAGAGCTACCTAATATGTTGAAAGTATCGATACTTTATAAAAATGTATCGATACTTTACAATATAACAGGTAAAAATATGACAAAACCAATTTCATTATGACAAAACCGGTAAAGAGCTACCTGATATGTTGAAAGTATCGATACTTTATAAAAATATATCAATACTTTATAATATAACATGTAAAAATATGACAAAACCAATTTTATTATGACAAAACTGGTAAAGAACTACCTGATATGTTGAAAATATCGATCTTTTTTATAAAAATGTATCGATACTTTACAATATAACAGGTAAAAATATGACAAAATTAGTTTCATTATGACAAAACCAGTTTCATTATGACAAAACTGGTAAAGAGCTACCTGATATGTTGAAAGTATATATATTTTTTATAAAAATGTATCGATACTTTACAATATAACAAGTAAAAATATGACAAAACCAGTTTTATTATGACAAATCCGATAAAGAGCTACCTAATATGTTGAAAGTATAGATATTTTTTGTACATGTATCGATACTTTGTTGAAAGTTATGTAATTTATGTTTCAAAATTTTTAAATAGTGCTTCATGTTTTCCACCTACAATATTAATTTAATAATTTCATTTACACAAAAAATTATTTGATTGTTTATATATTTTATAAAATATTATTTAGAATTTAAATTTAACCATTTTAACAAAAAATAATAATAAATATGTAATATCTATATTTATTATTTTTAATTTAATAATAAAATATACCGTAACATAAAAATAAATCATTAGACGCATATAATTACTAAATTAATATCTTAAAACTCACTTAAAAGATAACCTTAAATTAATGTTTTTCACAGTGAAATAAGTATGAACACTTATATATATGTATCGATACTTACCGATAACCAAAGTTTATCAGTTACCAAATTTTTTAATAATTTTTCCTATTTTTTTTACCTAAAACATTATTAGTCTGTCAACATAATAGGTAGTCTTAAACCAAATTTATTAATATTAATGTATCTAGTAATACTATATATTAACAATATATTAATCTTATATTAGTCCGTATTTTCTGATACAACCCCGAACGAGCCTGATTCGTGCTTCCTGTACATCAAAGATAGAATACAAAGACTATAAGAAATTTTCCAAACGACCTTGCTCAATTCTAACCTGTAGAAGTGGACTGTAAGGAATCTCAAAAACCAGATCTCATCCAAGGGAAAACTCACAGTCCCTCCTCACTAATTATTTAATCCCCTTAGTTCCACCATTAAAGCTCTGCTTTAAATTCATTCCCTCTAATTTTTCCATTTTATCAAACTTCATCAAGATTCAAAGGTCCTAATTTTCATATCATCCCACCTCTTCCCTGCCTCTAAATTTCCACCCTTTATCCTTAAATTGATTTTGGTTTGATTATTTTTTTTTCTAAAAACATTGCAATTTGGATAGCAGAAGCGAGATAAATAGACACTTCAATGGCTCTAAGGAAACCTGGTTTGATTGCTTTGTTTGATGTTGATGGAACACTTACAGCTCCAAGAAAGGTTTGTAAATCTCTCTTTTTTTTAATCCTTAAATTCTAGTGATATGCTTTTTGAATTTTGGGTATGTTGAATTTAATTGAACGTGACATTCCTTTTAATGTATCTTTCATATAAATGGTATAGACGGCTACCCCTGAAATGCTGGAGTTCATGAAGGAACTGAGGAAGGTATTTGTTTTTTTATGATAACCCTTTTGATTCTCTTTTGTTAATTCTTTTAAAAAAAAGTGTCAATTTCATTTACAGAAATTACTCTGTTTTACTTTGGATTGAAGGTTGATTCTGTTGGAGTAGTGGGTGGATCTGACCTTAGTAAGATATCTGAACAACTTGGGAAATCAGGTTTGCTTTCAATTAGCTCTTCACATTGTTGTTTTCATTGTTCCTTGTTCCTTTAATGCCTATGATTATTAACCATAGTTTGCATTTTCTGAAAAAAAATGCAGTTATTAATGACTATGATTATGTATTTTCTGAAAATGGGCTTGTTGCTCATAAAGATGGGAGGCTAATTGACACTCAGGTATTATTACTCATAGCTGGCATGTTCTATTCATCCAACACCATATTTTCTTGTCATGTCATGTAAATTAAAGAGCTGATAACAAGTTTTTTCCCCTTCTGTTTCTTTAAGTTGATCTGCATTTCTTTAACTCGGTCTTCATTTCCTCTTTCTAGAGCTTGAAGTCATTTCTTGGAGAGGAGAAGCTGAAGGTCAGATTTGTTCCCCTCTTAGATATGATGGCTCTTCCATTTGACATCCGAAATAGATTGCATTAAGAAAAAGCTCGATTTATAGTATTGATAGGACTCCTTGATGTTTTTTAGGTGCTTGTAACTATGTTTGACTAACAATTATTGCAATAATCTCTTTGATCTTTATAGTCTTGTATATCTGAAGTGAAGAAGTGGGATGGATAGAGTATCAAATTTGAACATATTTTAAGTGGCGGGTGAAATATAGGCAGTAGTACTTTATTTGTTGAGAACTTGATGATGTATGCTATTTGTTCATTGATTGCAAATGATTGTGCAGGAATTTATAAACTTCACGCTGCATTATATTGCTGACTTGGATATCCCTAGAAAAAGGTGAGAAGAGTGGGAAAATGGTACAAATTCTCTTTATTCTTCTAATCATTCGAGATATCGTTTTTTCTTTGGTGACACTGGTGTAGGGGTACATTCATTGAATTCCGAAGTGGGATGCTCAACGTATCTCCAATCGGACGAAACTGCAGCCAAGAAGAAAGGGATGAATTCGAGAAGTATGACAAGGTATAAAATATTTAAAACCTTGATCTAAAAGACATGGAATCGGTAGTTTTAGGTGTGCATATGCTCAAACAAATCTAAATACTTGGTTTTCAGGTTCACAATATTCGGCCAAAAATGGTTTCTGTGCTTCGAGAAAAGTTTGCTCACCTTAACTTGACGTTTTCCATTGGAGGGCAAATAAGCTTTGATGTGAGTAATGCATATGGTTTGTGATTGAAAGTTTTAAATACCAAGAATTTCAAGAGGATTCATCGATTTTTTCTTGCTTCATTTTGCTTGTAATAGGTTTTCCCCAAGGGCTGGGACAAAACATACTGCTTGAGATATCTTGAAGATTTTCCAGAAATTCACTTCTTTGGCGACAAAACTTACAAGGTCCTTTAACTTACTGCATCATGCATGATTCATTGTATTCGTTTAGGTCCTTTAACTTCGTTTCGTATGCTCCTTTTTTTCACATGACTAATGGTCTTGCCCTGATGTTTTACGGTTAGGGAGGGAACGATCATGAAATTTATGAATCGGAGAGAACAGTGGGACACACAGGTAAGTTGTTATCTCAAACTGTTTACACATAGGTCTTCATTTGGGGTGATTAATGAGTTGAGTAGCTCAAACTCGACTCGGTAAAAACTCAACTCGGGTTAACTCGACTCGATAAGTTCGCGAGCAACTCATTAATATTTTTTTATTAATAATCTTAAAAAATTCTTTCATTTAAAAAATTACTAATTTACTAATAGATAATAGAAAAGATGATAAATTATAATCTATTAATTTTCTAATAAATAATAAAAAATATTAAATTATTAATTCATAATTATTATTTTACCACACCCAAAATCAAACCATAATTATTATTTTAATGTATTTGTGGATTGTTGCTTTGAAGTTTAGACTTTAAAATTGCTTCATACACTCTTTTGACAATTTTTGATTAGATTTATTAATTTATGTTTATATTAAGTTCTATATAGTATTAGTAGATTTTACCTATAGTTAAAAAAACAAGGTAAAAATTTCAGTGGGTTTAACGAGCAGCGAGCTTAATGAACAAGTTTTTTTTATTGAGCACGAGTTGGGAAAAATTTTAACAAGCTTAACGAGCAACAAGTCGAAAAATAAATTTTTGTAACAAGCACAAGTCGAGCATTATCTAATTCGCGATCGACTCGCTCGATAAGCATTCCTAGTGTTCATTGTTCAATGGTCTCAAAAGGCAATGATTTAATTTCAATTAACAATATCTTGATTTTGGTCATGCAGTTACGAGTCCTGATGATACAGTGCGGCAGTGCAAAGCTCTCTTCCTAAGCCACCCTTGAACACCACCGTTTTTCTTCTTGATGATACATATTTTTGTTCTCGTAGTATATGAGAAGAACAAGTGCCAAACCGCTGTTGGCTCAAGTATGTAGTTTTATATATAGTTGTCAAATTGGTTAAAATTTGCCTATTCAGAACCTGCAGAAATTATTGTGTCACGATTATTCTTTTTTACTACAATTCACTTTTGGACCTTTACTGTATTAAGGTTGCAGCAATTTATATCTTTTAGTATATAGTTTACACACAGATATATGATATATCCATTGAAGCCAGAGAAGAGTCAGAGTAAATTTTCTGCATTGATGTAGGATAAGGATTGTGTTATGTCTTTGAGATTGTTCTTCAACAACATGAAAACATCGATCCATGAACATGTTCCCTTCCTGTCCATTACCATTTGATAAAGAATTAAGAAAGGATTCATCAAAAATTTATCAACCCCTTCAAAATTATCACTGAAAAGGTCCATTCTGTACAACTTACAACAAAGGGGGCATGTGTTCTTCTATACTGTTTTTTATTCCACTTTCTCTCTCTGTGTGTGGGGGGGGCTGGGTTGGGGGGTAACACCGGGGAACTTTCATATCGCCAAAGTTCCTTCAGAAATATTTTCATCAGAAGAATCTGGCAGTTGAGTTTTGGATTTATTTGTGACTCGAGAAAATCCATAACCAAGAGAACTTCCGCTATAGCTTGGCATAGCTGTGAAGAATGAAAACACGTGAATTACGATAAAAATAAACCTTGAGATGTTAGGCATAATTTAACAGAAAGGAAGGCAATATAGAAACTTTCAATGTTAAGAAGTGGTGATTTTAAATTTTCAGCTACAAGGAGGGCGTAGGGTCAAAGGAAGTATATCTGTTAGCTCTGCAAGATGGCGGGACCTGAATTCATTGATTGTTGCTGCAATCTCGGATGTGGGCAGTTTAGCCTACGTAAAGAAACGCAAAAAGAAAAGACTTGGATGTTTTAAGATATCAGTATGATAAATAAATAAAAGAACATAAGCGGAAGCATAGTGAAAAACAAACTAAACTCCCCAACCTTAATCACATTAGTAAGTTTCCAAAGCAAGAGTTGCAATTCCAAATCATGATCTCTTGCAAAGGGAAAGATAACGGGAAACAGGGGGCTCATGATACGAAACCAATGATGTATCATACCTGCGCAAGAACAGCAGCTGCCAACTGCAGACTCGGTTCTAAGGTTTCTGGCACAACCTGTGAAGCGAGAGAAGAGTAAGGAAAAACCAGAAGAAAAACACCAGGAGGAAAATTTAGTAGTAGTTCTCAGAATATTACAGCCGTAGCCCCAGCTTTTTCCAAATTAAGGCCATGATCAACATCATGAGCACGGACAAATGTTTTCACATTAATGAAATACTTGCTCAGAGCCCAAACAGTTCTATAATTAGCACCAGGGGTATCCAAGGTTATTGCTGCAGCACAAGCTCTTTCAGCACCAACTTTATGGAGGACCTAATTACCAGTATAAAGGAAGTCAAATAGAGATCTTCGAGTTGGCTTATTTCAAACTAATTTTGCTTACCTCCCGACTACCAGCATCTCCAAAATAATTTTGTTTATCTCCAAAATAGTGATCTACGAGTAGGCTTATTTCAAACAGTAATGTCCAGGGCATGCCCCATTGATACCCTGTCACTGAAATGGCAGAACTTTTAGTATTTTACCATTATCGAATGTTGAACTTTAGAAATCTGCTCATCTGTAATGTCTACCATTGATGAAAAAACTATTACTTTATGGCCATTTCCGAAATGAATCAGCCTAAGTCCATGGAGTCTTAGCTTCTTCAAGAAAAATGTCATTCATATAGTAGGCAAAAGTGAGTGTTTTGCACTAGCAGAAAAAAGCCGGGAAATAGGGCTACCCTTACAAATGTATAACAGTGGTGTTATTTCAATGGAATATGACATCTACAGTGAAGACAATTAGAACCTATTTTTCTCATTTTTCTTCTTTGGAAAAGAGTTTGCAGAAAGAGATGCCAGGTTCTCCACAAGGAACCAACTTTCCCATATATACATCAGCCTCTCTAGCTCATAATCACATACACATGTTCTGTTAGTGGACATATAATATTACACCGATACATAGGATAAATAGAAATGAAAGACAAACTCATGTGTGAGTCATCATACAGGCAAGTATCTTGGAGGAATTCAATTGGAAAACATAAGGACCTATACCCTAGGTTAAGATGGAGTTAGATGTTTGCAAAATCATAAACACCGCGTTTGACAACTATTTGGGCTTTTCATTTTTTTTAAAAAAAGAGCAAATAATTCATTCAAATAAATTATCTTGTTACCTCCTCACATCAAGAGCAACAAATGGAATTAGGCGTTCTGAGAGAAGCTGAGCTATGATCTGAAAACACTCAAAGAAATGGAGAAAATACGACATTATTATAAACATGTGTTCATTATTAACCAATTAGAGTGGAGGTTCATCAGATTCACATTTTCAGACTTATTTTTCAAATTCAGGGTGTAAATAGATAAACATCTGGCTAACACGCCCAAAGCCACAAATGATAATATGATCTTGCAAATCATCAGTCTGGAAATAATACAAGTCAGAGATAAATTAGTACGTAATCCTTCTACATCAGAAATCAGACGCATAACATATTGAAAAGAGATTTATTGCATACAAATACTTTATATTCCCTCCAATATTTACTATCTGATCATAATCACTCCAAATGACTTTTATTGCAAAATTAATGACGCTTTCTTCCCATATCTTCCTGGGGATCCATATATAACCTAAATGCATTACACTTTCCTTATTTAGTTGTTACAACCTCAAAATGTAGCAAAACATGGAGTTCACTCCAAAGAACCATGGGAAGGCCTGCTTTAGTTATTTACGAACTACTGAGGGGGAAAACTAAAACTCGCAACCTAAATTTAGACATGTTACCTCACTCTCAACCGGCAATAAACTTCAAACATCATGCTGCTCAAAACGAGAGGCAATTAACTGGCCTCCAGCAGCAAGCCATGGTGTGAGGGCCATTGAAATCCCCACAACAAGGAGCAACAACGAGGATAGTTGAGAAGACATTATTCCCTGCCAAAAGAAACCCATTAATACTTGCATAAGCAATAAAAAGTTCCATTATTAGCACTTGGAAGTTGGATTTCATTATTAAAAGAAGGATGATTCCTATTGATTAGTAACAAAGCGTGCCCATTTACCTAAGATATATGATACAAAACTAATGAATATCCCAAATTATTACAGAACAAACCTTACAATGAAAAAATCAAAAGTAAAACCCAATAGCCCAAAAGGTTACCAAATGCAAGATAAACTATTAGATGTGGATGAGACCAACTGATGTTAGCTAATAGAGAAAGCTACCTGATTAACAGCTTCACCGGAAGCCACAAATTCAAATTCTCCACCTGGGGCCAGAAGAAGACCAACCCTTATGGCAGATATGATTGAAATACCAAAAAGTTTCCCAACAACTGCTACCAACACAGTCTTTCCACCAAGTAAGAGTGCTAATGTACCCGCAATGACAGGAAAATTTGACACAAGAAACTTTGGGTCAATGGACATCCCACCTTGAAAAGTCAAATTGTGAATAGTTGCATATACTTGACCATCAACATATGGAAGTACCAATAATAACCTAAAACAAGCCAATTAAGCAAGCGTTGTCATTCTCCAAACTCAGTAATGTAATCCAGCCACCTCTCTCAGTTTTCTTCCACTTTCTGCATTTTGATTTTCTGCTATTTGCTTATAGATTGGCCGTAGCAACTGCAAAGTACACAAAAATCAGCACCTGCTGTGTTTCTGAAGCGTTGCTCATTTTCAGAATCAAGCACAGGTATGAACAACCTTGGTAAATTCAGAACATTGTCGGTAAATTGCTTCTATGAGTCAACAGTATCAGACTATTAGATGCATTTATTATATGTATAACAAACCTCTCGCATGCTATCAACTATTCCACAAAATGATACTACATTCATCCAACCAGGTTATATTCGATTACTCTTAATAGATAACTTTCAAAGTTTCTCATCAGTCTAATATTAGATGATAAATTATTCAAATACTACAGGATACATTAAGATAAGGTAAAACAATAAAAAAAATAGTGTTTTAAGAAATAAAACTTACCAACCGTCCCCTGGCAATAATTCCAGCGATGGCAACTGCTGCCTTAACAGCAGCCAGTTCAAGAGTTTCTGCAATGGCTCTAAAACCAATCTGAAAACCAGAAATATTACATTACTGAAAGTGCCAATATTAAACATAGAATTGCCAGCAGTGATAACAAGAACATAGCAGATAAACCAGACAAGGGGAATTTCGCTTCCTAACTTGCCTTAGCCATCAAAATTCTTTCTTATTTTTTCCTAAATATTTATACTAGCAAATGTTTATCCAAAATACTTCCTAAGAATTTCATTAGAACTATTTATGGACATCAAATTAGAAAAGAAAAGATTTTGGGAAAGGCACATGCTCCCTTAAAGCAAACTAGTGGAGTATGCTGCAAATAAATAAGCATAAACAGAAATTAAGCCATCCCTTAGATGAAGGAACAGGCTGCTTTCTATTCATAGAAGCTTAGGAAAATCACTCATCAAAACCTGATCCCAAAGAGAACTTTCTGGTTGATTAATAAAAAAAACTTGAGCCCCAAGAAAACGTTATGGTTTATGCAAGTAATAAAACAAAGAATCTAGATGTATGCAAATGGCATAATATAAAAGCAAGACCAATTAGAATATTAAAGGTGAAACAAACAATAAAAAGGAAAAGCAAAGGAAAAAGCCCCGGATTTATTAGAATTTAGAAGATCTTACCCCTCCTTTTGATGAATTTGGTGAGACTAGAGGTACGAGTATAAGCAAAACAACAACAGCCAAATCCTGGAAAGAAGAGATATTAATCAATAAAAAGCCGCAACCAAAATCATCTAAATGCCCCAGTATAATTAGAAACACTAACAAGGGAGGATTCCAAACAAATCAAGTTGGTATTAGTATAATTGTCCTAATTGCTGGATCGGCAGTAGCTCCTGCTATAGGTTCTGCTGGTGGATTAATTACCTTGTGGAATAAGAATGAATTTGTGGTGAAGGATGTAGTCATTTCTAGCAGGTTTGTAGCAATTAAGGGGATTATGGATGGTTTTCCAGGAAGCTGTTGTTTCATCAATGTGTATGGTCCTAGT